GAGCCACCTGACAAAGCTCACAACCTCGGAAGGCAAAACCGTCACATCGGTTCCAGAAATACTCGCCGAAATTGAAGACTTTTACGGCCGCCTCTACGCCTCGCATGCTTCAAAACCTCCGCCAGAAGCGAACGACCCAAGAGCCACACTGACACGCCACTTTACAGACGATCTCCCAGACGTCGACGAAGGCGAAATTGAAAGGGCTCTCAAACAGCTTAAAAATGGGAAGGCTCCCGGTGAAGATGGAATCACTTCCGAGCTTCTCAAAGCAGGCGGAACCCCACTGCTGAGAAAGCTAAAGGAGATATTTAATTCCGTCATAGCAAATGGGACTATCCCGAAGGTGTGGAGTGAGAGCGTGGTGGCTTTGTTCTACAAGAAAGGTAATAATACCCTCTTGAAGAACTATAGACCAATCGCGCTCCTATGCCACATCTACAAGCTGTTTTCGAGAGTCCTCACAAACCGTCTCGCCGCAAGATTTGACGCCTTTCAGCCACTGGAGCAGGCTGGGTTTCGAAAAGGTTTTAGCACCGTGGACCACATTCACACAGTGAAACAGGTTATACAGAAGTCACAAGAGTATAATCAGCCGCTGTGTCTAGCATTTGTGGACTACGAAAAAGCCTTCGACTCCATCGAAACCTGGGCCGTTTTGGAATCCTTGCAGCGATGCCAAGTCGACTGGCGGTACGTGGAGGTGCTGAGAAGCCTGTACAGCACGGCGACGATGTCCGTCCAAGTACAAAACCAAAAGACTAAACCCATCCAGCTGCTCAGAGGAGTGGGACAGGGAGATGTCATCTCTCCGAAACTGTTCTCCAACGCACTGGAGGATGTTTTCAAAACCTTGGACTGGAACGGATTGGGCATCAACATCAATGGCCAATATCTCAACCACCTCCGCTTTGCCGACGACATTATTTTAATGGCAGAATCGATGCAGGATTTGAAAATCATGCTGCAAAGCTTGGATGCTGCCTCATCATCGGTCGGTCTCAGGATGAACTTGGACAAGACTAAGGTCATGTTCAACGACTTTATAAGTCCAGAGCCGATTTCAATCAACGGCGAAGCGCCCGAAGTTGTCCAAGAGTATGTTTACCTCGGGCAGACATTGCAGTTAGGTAGAGACAACTTTGAGCGTGAAATCGCTAGAAGAGTGCAGCTGGGCTGGGCAGCATTTGGAAATCTGCGTCATATCTTCTCGTCGCCACTACCACAATGCCTAAAAAGCAGGGTCTACAATCAGTGCGTCCTGCCAGTCATAACATACGGGGCCGAGACATGGAACATGACGGTGAGGGCTGGCCCACCGATTACATGTCGCTCAGCGGGCTATGGAAAGATCAATGCTCGGTATTTCGCTAAAGGATAAAATCCGAAACGAAATTATCCGGCAGAGGACCAAAGTTGTGGATATAGTCCGTAAGTGTAGCAAGCTGAAGTGGCAGTGGGCTGGCCACATCTGTCGTAGAACCGATGAGCGCTGGAGTAGACAGGTTCTCGAATGGAGACCACGTCTCGGAAAACGTAGTGTCGGACGTCCCCCTGCCAGGTGGACCGATGACCTGAGAAAGGTCGCTTGTAGTGGCTGGATGAGGAAATCGGAAGATCGTACTCTGTGGCGTACTCTTGGGGAGGCCTATGTCCAGCAGTGGACTGCAAAAGGCTGATTGATTGATTGATATCTAGGCGGAAACTAGCTGAGAGCAACTATCGCATTAACATGTCATTGGAGAATTATGACACGCTGTTGGAGATAATGAAAGAGACACGGAAGTTGTTTAAGAAAAAGAAGTTCGAGGGTTGGAGGAATTTTTGCAGTTCCTTGTCACCCGAAACACATTCGTCAGTTCTTTGGCGAAAAATTAAGAGATTTAGAACAGCCATAAATCCTTCTAGTGCGGCTCTCCTTCCTATTGTACTAGCCGATCAATTCCTCGACCGTTTGGCTCCTGCTTCTGTACCACACCAAGATTTAACTATCCGTTCCCTACCCGTTATTGCTAAACCAATTGCTACTCTTCTTTAAATCTTCCTATTACTATGGTGGAGCTAAAAGGAGTGCTAAAACACGTCAAGGACAGTGCTCCTGGGGAAGACGGGATACCATATTCCTTTTTATCACACATTGGTGAAAATGGCTTAAATCACTTTTTAAATTTAATAAACAAAGTAGTTATGTCGGGTGACATTCCTTTATCTTGGCGAAGGCAAATAGTGTTGCCTTTTTTAAAACCAAATAAAACACACTATAATGTTGAATCTTATCGCCCAATAGTTTTATCATCGGTAATTACTAAAGTAGTTGAACATGTAATTAAAAATCGTCTTCAATGGTTCATTGAGAATAATGAGCATCTCTCTCAGACACAGTTTGGTTTTAGAAACGGGAAAAGCGTGGCCGATAACTTGGGGATTTTTACTACTGATATTCGTATCGCCTTTTTAGACAAAAAATCCACAGTCGCTGCTTTCTTGGATATTAATTCTGCGTACGATAACGTTTTACTTCCCATTCTTAAACAAAAGCTGAATAATTTAAACGTCCCACACCTTTTAACTAACTTTATTTTTAATCTTCTTTCCGAGAGACAAATTATTCTGGACGTTGGAGACCTGTATACACCTAGTAGATTGGTCTGGAAGGGGTTGCCGCAAGGTTCTGTACTAAGCCCTTTACTGTACAACATATATACACACCACTTAGAAAGGTCTGTTGGTGATAATGTTAGTATCCTATAGTATGCGGATGACTTGGTCATATACGCCTCTGATAAATCTGTAGCAGTTGCGTGTGAGCATATTTCTTCATCTTTATCTTCTTTAAAAACTTGGTTGGATACTAATGGCCTAGATCTATCTCCGTCAAAGAGTAGCTGCGTTATTTTTACCAAATCTCGAAATCCTCACACACCTACTATTACTTATGATAATACACCTTTCTTTACCAATCAAAAATCAAGTAAAATTTTTAGGGGTTGTACTTGATGCAAAACTAACAGGTCTAGCCCATTGTGAGTTTGTAGTTTCAAAATGTGAACGGAATTTGAATATGCTCAGATGTCTACGCGGTGTCTGGTGGGGTGCTCATCCAGCTACTATGAAGTTGGTTTACAACGCTGTTATTAGAAGTATTTTAGAATTTGGTACTTTCTTTTTAGATCCTAGGAATGTGGCAGGTTTTAAGAAATTGGACGTGATTCATTCTAAGGCATTAAGACTAATTGCAGGTGCAATGAAATCCACTCCAGTTAATGCACTTCAAATAGAATGTTGTGATCCCCCTTTAAGCTTTAGGCGCCAGTATCTCTCTGACAGATTTATTTTCCGGCTTGTTCAATTTTCTAATCATCCTTTAGCTTCCAAACTTGAATTATTGTTAGAGAAATTGTCTTCCAGTAATAAGCCCTTTCCATGCCTATTAAAAAGTTTTCAGAAATATAAATTGTTACAAGCTCCTACACATTAGTTTAGAGTCCTTCCTTTATTTAAAACTTCATACGATTCTCTTTTTTTCTGTCCTAATATTTGTTTTTCTCTCAACATAGACAGGTCCGATTGTAATGCAAACACTACTTTTAACCATATCGTAAATACTAAATGGCCAAATTGGCATCACATATATACTGATGCATCCAAACATCCCACAGGGTGTGTTGTAGTTCATAACCAATATAATATAGTCCAAAAAATAAAATTACCACCAAAAACATCTATATTTACGGGAGAATGCTTCGGTCTTCTGAAAGCAATAGAATATGTAATAAGTTTTAAACTCAACAAAACTGTTATATTTACAGATTCACTCAGTTCTTTACAAAGCTTAGAAAAATTTTCCTTAAAACTGAATCCTTTTTTCCACATAACGTTTGAATGTAAGAGAAAGTTGTTGCATTGCCAATTAAATAACTACACAGTCACTTTCTGCTGGATACCTAGCCACTGTGGCATCATAGGAAATGTGAGAGCTGACAGTTTGGCAAACGAGGCAACTGTGAGTGGCGATTTATACCCATACACGATTTTCGGACACGACCTGAACGCTTTACCTAGCACATATCTCCGTGATACATGGAATTTGAGCTGGAGAGAGAGCGGTCAGGTCAAGGGTCGTTTCCTCTACCCTATACAGCCTTTAGTCCCAAGAAAGCCATGGTTTGCCAAACTGTGTTTTAATAAATCTGCTACTTCGTCTTTAATCCGCATGCGTCTTGGACATATTTGCCTTCCGGTACATCTACATAAACTTGGCATAGTATCTAGTACTGCCTGTGAATGTGGTGAGAGTTATTGCGATATGAATCATGTTTTCTTTTCCTGTCCTTTATATGACCACTCTTCCCTATACGAATCTCTAATATCTCTCTCTATTCCTCTTCCTTCTAATATTTACTTACTTCTTAGAGATAATAGACCCTGTGTATATAGTACGTTAAATAAATTTATTGTAAATAATAAGATTAGATTGTAGTTTAATATTACTTGTTTTTATTTTGTTGTATATTATTTTTTCTGTATTTTGTTTGTTATATGAAATTATTCTGATTTGGTTTTGTTTAATTCCCGGTACGGTTTTTAATTATTTTAATTCGCGTTATACGTTTCCCTCGCTTTGTAAAATGTAAAATACTTGACACTGGCTTAATGCACGAATGGTGCCGAGCCATAATTAAAAAAAAAAATTGTCATTTTAGTTTGTATTTGTAAGTTTTGTGCACGTATGACGTAAACTATAGGTACGTAGGTAATAAGGTATAAATCAAATCGCCAAGCCAAGGTTACTCTTACAAACCAAAACTTTCAAATTCGTGGATGATATAGTGTACAAATTTGAATTAAGACGGAATGGAACATGAAAGATACTGACCAAGACATATTCTCTGCACTTGACACTGCAAAAGAGATTACATTGTGAACGTGACTATTGACTATTAGACTCGACACAACTTTATGAACCGTTACTTTCTGCAATGAGTTACTGGAATCAGAGTATGCGCAATGATAACAGAAAGGAAGATAAGCCTCCGTATTCTAGGGTATTCGTTGTGTGCGGCAAACAGACCAGAGAAGAAGACCTAAGGCCTTATTTTGAAAAGTTTGGTACAATTGAGGATATACATATTCCTAGAGATCGTAACTCTGGGGAGTCAAAAGGTGTAGCCTATATAAAATACACTAAAACTTCTTATGCAGCTGCAGCTATACAAGGACTCCATTACAAAACTTTGGAAAATGATAATAAGCCCCTGAAAGTAATGGTTGCAGCAAACAAGAATGATTGTAGCTCTGGTAGTGAGGATAGATATAAAAGACTATTCATAAAAGTCCACAAAGAGGCTACAGAAAATGAAATAAGAGAGCATTTTTCAGAATTTGGTGAAGTAGAGTCTGTTCGCGTACAAAGAGATAAATTTACTGAAGCCTGTAAGGGGTTTGCCTATGTCCAATACAATAAATTCCTAGATGCTTCTAAGGCATTTGAGGAATGTGATAGGAAATACAAACCAATGTTTGCTACTCCAAAAGATGAATTAAAAAGAAGTAGACATAGTATAGAATCAGACAGCTTCCACTCTAGTAACCCAAACATTTTTGGTAGAGACTATTACTTAGACAATTACCCATCACCGGGAGATATTAAAAAGGACTCTATATGTTCTCTGATACCTTCTAAGCCTCAAGATTTTACCAGGATCAGTGTCAAATGTTACCCGCAAGTCCCACAGCGGTACATAGAGAAATTATTTAACCTTATACCAGGGATGAAACAATGCCAGTATTCACATGATACCTATAACAATGCTTGCAAAGCACTCATTACTTATGATACTGAGAAAGCTGCTGCCTTTGCTGTAGAGAGACTTAACAATTATGAATTTCCATCTGGAGAAACATTAACTGTGAAGGCTGATAAGAATTCTTTAAATAAAGCAGCCACAGAGTTAAGTAATATTGTGAATAATTTTAAAAATGCTATTGACGCTGGCACTCCTGACTTAATTCAGTTAGCAGATGCAATAGCACAAGCAAGTACCTTAATCAAAGTTGTTACCAACTGCAGATCTGATAATAAAATGGAACAAGAACAAGACATGAACTATTGCAATGTTCAACTTCCACCACCCAAACCATTAGTCGATAGTAACAGTACAGTGGCTAAAAGATGTTTTATAGTATGTAAGCCTCAGCCACCACCCAGCGCTGCATTAAGAGATGTATTCAGTAGATTTGGTGATCTCATACATGTATCCACATTTCCCAATAAAATTTTTGGATTTGCAAAATATGCATCTGTTAAAGCTGCACAGGAAGCTATTAAAACATTGAATGAGGCTATTGTTTGTGGTGTTCGTTTAAAGGTTATGGAGGCTGATGAGAAGCCCAATAAACATGATGACGAGCACAACAACATAAGGAATGATAATGTTGACAGTGATATAGACAGAAAGAGAATGAGACTTATAGACAGCAAGACAGATTAGACAATATTTATCATCAGACCTAACTGTTCAAAGTACAGACATCATAATATACATTAAATGAACTTTTTATACACATAGATGAATTTGATGATAAAACTACAAAATTGTTAAATGAATTACCCTTTGCATGTTTTTATATATTTGTTATTGTTTTCATTTATATCTGACCATTATTAAAATATTTCATCAAGTATCAAAAGTATTTTCTTATCAAAAGTCAAGTTTCCACATTTAATATAACACTTTAATCTCCAATATTCATTCTGTCATGTTATGGTTTAAGTTAATTTTTAAATGACCATCCATAAATCCTTATCCACTTGACTACTCTTGAAATCCAAAAATTTTTTTTTATAATTTTAGATTAAGTATGATATAACATTATTCCGAATTTTATAAAATAAGGCAAACAAGGGCAATAAAAAGTGAAACACTGGGTAATTAAACACCTTTTTATTATAAAAAAGGTAGTAAGACACAATAAATTGATAAACATCTAATATAAATATACATAATAGGCATGAGATCAAGTCTTGTATCCCAATTAATTGCCAAAGATTGCTTAATGTTTCAAAATTGCTGGTGTAAACATATGTACCAGATTTTCCTATCAGAAGATGGGAATATTTAAGAGTTAATAATGATGGATTCTAGTTACAAATACTAACTTACAGATTTTTCAAGTCACAAAATGTGAGGAAATCCATAAATTATTTTTATTATACATACTTCAGAACAGAAATAAACTTACATTCCTTTACTACTTAATGCATGCAGAGTATAGCATAATCACAACAAATTTTTCGATAATATTCATAATAACATGAAAGGCATAATTATGGATTTAGGTGCCCCATTTGGGTATTACAATATAAGCTTACTTATGCTATACAAAATTTTATGAAACAATTTGAAGAAAGAAATAATACATGTTGCAATATAAAATAAAAATCATATAAAATGATTAGCAATTTAGAAAACTTCAGTAGCAGTGAGAACTATACTGATTACTATCGGGCAGAACCTTTGTAATCTTTGATGCTGGAATGGAGAAATACAATTAAAAAATATTCAGCACTATTACTAATGATGCCAATTTGAAACTGAATTGCTTACATACATAATAAAGATATATTACACTGGACTCACTTAATTGGTAATAGATTCTCCACTAATACCAACAGCCCAACAAAAGAAATATCCATATTATTAACCTCACAGGCAATTACCAAATTTAACAAGGAAGTAGTATAACCAAATATATGACTATGCAAGCTATCATTACACTGGCTTAGAGCCTTTATATGCATAAATTAATTTTTATTCTTTAATAAATATGTGACTTCATTTATGCCAGCCAGCAATTTATTGATAATGTTTTCATAGTACAAAATATTGTTATCCTCTTGATTATCAGGCCAATTTTTGTTACATTCACTAATAGTAGTCTTTGTTTCAACCATCTGAAAACAAACAATGTTCATTAAAAAACTTACATATAGATTCTTTTCATAATTAGACTTAACACAGTACAGTGAACACAGTATTACAGTACCTGAGTGAATAAGTTGACATCTTGACACAATTGTGTCAACTTTTCTTCCAGATCAGCATTTCTATTATTCACCTCATCTTTTTTAATCAGCTTGATATTGGCCAAGCGTTTAGCTAGTTGATCAAGAGTTGATGCATATTGCTTAATGTCTAAGTTTTCAAACACCCTCTGACTGTTTCTTGGTGGTGGCTGTGCTGGTAAAATGTTTTTTCTCAAGTCTTCAGCATAGTTTTTCATGGAAGCAATAACATCATCGAGATCCACTTCCACAGTATTTTCGGGCATGTCCGACATCAGCAATTTGGGTACGCTTGCTTCAAGAAACTTAGACATGTCTTCATGCCTAACAGAGTTATTAGCTTGTCCATTGTTGTTGTCCTGATTATTATCATTTTGTTTCGGGACATTATCAAATAATGCTTTAATTTCTTTCATGATTCTCTGCGATTCAACAAGTTCTTGATCCAAATCTTCAGTCATTTTTTGGAGTTCGTCTAATTTTACCATGGATGGTAGAAATTGAGCGAAAGCCAGGGCATGCTCTTTAGGATTATAACTCATTTTATTATATTATTAATCTCCTAATACTTTCTTTTTCTTGAAAATTTATAGGCGACAAAAACAACGTTTTTTCCGACAATTGTCTTTGGTACACGTACAAACAATGTACCTATTACATACATATCTATTGTCCATTGTCTCATATGTATTATCTATGCATTGTCCACAGACAAGATTTGTATGTATACATGTAGTCATCTACGGATATTCCAATACCAAGTACTTTAAACATCGAATCTGTCTTACGATACTTACTTGGTATTGAGATGAAAGTACCTAATATCGAATCAAATCAGACTGAAGTGAACGAAATGAATGTTCCCTTACAATTTCAGAACGCAACATATTTTATTTGAGGAAGCACTAATTTTAGATACTTTAGTTTCTATACTAACACTAGGAAGTAGTATCGATACTTTTGGTTGCGATATTGCGTCCGTACCGATAATATAAGTGTCATATTCGACAATTAATTTATGTTGCGTTCAGGTAATTGTAACAGGTAATTGTAAGGTAACTCGAGTGCATACGAACTCGAGTCAAATTTGTTTTCACTCGAATACGAGCTTAACAAATTCACTCGAGTCACTCGAATAAAAAACGACTCGAGTTCATCACTACTCGATCGATTGTTTTTGTTTTTGTCCCCTTTGGCGTTGCCATTAATACGGCAATTGGCGTAATATACGGTAAATCGAACACTTAACTTCAGATAATACGGCATACGGCAGGTTTTGCATTACTCTATAATATACGGCAATATCAAACTTATATTCACATGGCTACTGTTATAACTTAAGTACTCATTGTTCCAACCAAACACGGAATAAATTGCTCTAAAAAGCTCGTCCCTGTTACATACTTGGAATCCCTGAAAATTACTGGCAAAGTTTGCAGAAATTAGGAAGCCAATCAAAATAGAAACGTCATGACAAACTGCAAAAAAATTAAAAAATGGTATAATTTGTCCCACAAATTTCTTCCAATGTTTAAAAACTTGTCATCAGAAGTGCTTTTTTGCATTTTCGCACATGATATTATGTGTGTGAAATGAAAAACTAGGAAAAATATTATTTAAGTAAATATGGCAGCGAAATAATTGAGACGAATAGAAATTTCTATAGTATTCACCATTCATCTGTATCTTATTTTTTTGTCCTTGTATTGTTGTCAAAAAAATAACCTACCAGTCGTTTTTAATATAATCAAACTAAGCAATACGGCAATTTCATGATTTTGATATAAAAATGGCTATCTGGAATATTGATTACGGCAACGGGCAACTTTATAAAACTTGATGGCAGCACCTGGCAGCACTAGGGATGCCGAAGGTCGAAAAAATATCGATATATCGGTACATCGATATTTATAAAAATATCAATATCGGCCTCGATATATCGAAAAAAATATCGATATATCGGTCAAATTTTCAGTTTTAAAAAATTATGTATTTAGTTCAGTCTCAGTAATAGTAATTTTTATACAAAATGCACATTATTTAAATGAATGAGAAATTTTAATAAAACGTTATTTATATATTAATTTTAATCAAATTTCTTTATTTATTCAAAATTTCTAGGTATATTATTTATCAAGCCTTCATTGGAAAAAAAATAAACATCTTATTTAGTAAGATAAATCAGTTTCTTTAGCCCTGAATCGAATCAAGAAAAACGAATTAAAAACATGTACTCGTAACTTTGTAAAAAAAAACATAAAGAATTGTTTAAAACGAAGTTAATAATGGGTCAAAAAGAAACCCGCAGAGACTTAACCTAAAAGACAGGCCTAGATCAACAGAATTTAGTAATAGTTGTTTGATTGACATGAAAATGCTGAACGATAATTTAAAGAATTTACTTATGTGGTTAAATGATAATAATTTTTAAATGATAATAATTTTTATGACGTCAAATAAAATTAACTGTTGAGAATTTGATAACAATTAATTTTTTGTTAACTTTATTTTCATATTAAATCTTTATTGATCTAATATTTAAAAGATTAAATCTATCTAAAAATACATAATCTCCGTAGATTAGGTAATTTCCTACCCATACCAACTAAAATTGCACAAACACTCCTATTACCGATTCTCGATTATGCAGATTCATGCTATTCGAATCTTAATGAGGACTTACTTAATAAACTTGAGCGCATTTGAAATCTTTGTATACGGTTCATATTTGGACCATGTTTCCGAACATCGCGAAAAACTCAAGTGGCTTCCGATTCGCCTTCGCAGGAATACCCACATTCTTTCTCTTTTATACTGTATTCTATTCAATCCTACTTCACCTCCTTATCTTAAAGAGAGATTTGAGTTCCTCAGTAACACTCACTGTCACTCTCTTCGCTCCGATAATAACCTGACCTTAAAAATTCCCTCCCATAATACTTCCTTCTACCCCAAATCCTTTTCTGTCGAAGCGGTCAGGCTTTGGAACTTCTTACCGCTTCAAATCCGGCGAGCGCAATAACTGGCAATATTTAAAAGACTCGTTAAAGCTCACTTTTTCCACCCTAAACATTTTATCTCTATATTATGATTTTTTTGTTTTTCGACTCATAATTTTTTGCTTTTGTCCACTTATCGTTCCCTTCTGTTTATATTGTATATATAAATATATATGTATTCATTCATATATATATATGTATATATACATTTATTTTATTCATCTATATTGTGTATAGTAGTGTTGTTTACATGTATCTATAATACCTATATTTACAATAGCGTATACCTCAAACCCTTCTCACTGATCATTGTATCCTCAGTAACATGGTTGCCTGGAAGAAATCGCTTCTAAGCGATAAGGCCGCTAATTGTACCTTTATGTAGTTGTTTGTTACTTTTGTAATTTTGTCTGGTGTACAATAAAGCGTATTTCCTTTCATTTTCATTTCATATTATCTAATAAACCTAATGCGCAGCATGGTGCCAAGAATGCTAGCTGCATTTCCTCGCCGATTAGTTATGCTTAACCTTTGAGCGAGAAAAGAACCAGCTCTCTTGTCACCAGCCACGGCACCATATTAAATTAAAGCAACTTTAGTTGATGCCATTAATATTTTGCATGCTCTTTTATAAATTAACATAATACCATATTGTAACTAAGATATGGATAGTATAAAGTAAGAAGCATCAAATTGTAGTATAAATACCATAATTATAGTACAAAATGCAACTCTGCATCCGCGACAATATTATTAAGAGACTACAGTTTTTTTCCGTTCATTTTTATCTTTTACGGCTTTGAATCAGTTTGAATAAAAATATCGTTTTTGATACGATTTCGATATTCAATTTTTATATTGATATATCGGATCGGCCAAAAATATCGATATATTTTCAAAAAAATATCAATGTATCGATATTTTGTCGGCATCCCTAGGCAGCTGATCTCTATATAAACAACGATTCCTACCCCATGCTTGTTTTGTTTTGCTGATTGCTTGTTCGTTTAAAATTTAAAGTGACAGGTTATTAATTGTTTTGTAACAGGTAATATCTACAAAAACATTTTTTCTATAAATTGAATTCGTTAAAGTAAAAGTAAATTAAGTGGGTAGAAAATTTATTGTTTACTTATTTTCCACTACCCCCATCAGTCATTAACACAAATTTATTTTTATTTTCTTAGTTTTCGTGATATTTTGGTTTGAAAAAATGGTGAGAAAATTAAAATACCACGAGCAAAAATTGTTGAAGAAAGTAGATTTTATTTCATGGAAGGTGGACAACAATTTGAATGAAGTAAAAGTGATGAAACAGTTTTACATTCAAAAACGCGAAGACTATACAAAGTAAGTAGCTGTTCAATTTTACCTTAGTTTTAGTATATTTTGTAGTTTTGTATAAGAAACTCGAGTATATTATGTCTAAACCAAAATACAAACTCACCTCCATATTTTTTTTTTATTAGGAAGCTTTAAAATATACTACAACCAAGTGGAATTTTATATATAATTATAACATTTTGTACCAATAAAACTCTTATCACATACCCCATGGTAAAGTTATACACCCGTAGCATATCTAAGAAAGAATATGATTTTTAAATATTTTTTTGATATACCTCACAAAAAAATGTTTATTTTCTCAACAGGTATAATAAGCTTTCCAGAGACATCAGAGATATTGCAAACAAAATAAAAGCTTTAGACCCAAATTCAGAGTTCAGAACAGAATGTAGTGCCCGTTTATTGGAAAAGTTGTATCAAATGGGACTTATACCAACTAGATGGGATTTATCTCTTGCCGCAAATGTTTCTGCAAGCTCCTTTTGTCGGCGAAGACTTCCTGTGGTCATGGTTCGAAGTAAGAAAACTATTTTCACAAAATTAATTAATTTAAAAATAGGGAATTTTTAGTTTATTTAATAGTAATGACTATCATTTAATTGTATAACAGTGCATCTTTTGAGATTTTTTATTCTACCCGACAGTTTTATAAAAATTATTACGTTTCCATGTTATATAAGCATAGAAACTAATTTGATATAAATATTTTACTGCATATTTAAATGATATTATGCTACTTCAAGAAGATACACACCTGTACTGACTGAATTTAAGTAAGATATTTAAATGTTACTTCAGACAAAATGGCAGAGAATTTAAAAGAAGCCACAAAGTTCATAGAGCAGGGTCACATAAGAGTTGGACCAGAAGTGGTGAAAGATCCCGCTTTCCTTGTTTCACGTGCCCTTGAAGATTTTGTAACATGGGTGGATGGTTCGGCCATTAAAAAGCATGTTATGGAGTATAATGATATGGTATGTATAATTCTTCTTTTTTATAGTTTTCTCTTTTTTGTAAATGAGAGAAAACTTTTGCAACACCCATAGGATTGCAGATGTGTTGCCTTGTAATAATAAAGGGGGCCCCAGCTACTTCACTCGACTGACGAAACATGCAAGAATAACACTTAGACTTCACGCGGGTCTTTTGTGAGGTTGTTGGCCTAATTGTGCAACTGTTACGTGGCCCCTCAACATATACCTTTTTAAATTTAACATTTTCAGATTCATAACTACTATTCAGATACTAAATCATAATAATTGTATATCCTCTTTTTTTCAGAGAGATGATTTTGAATAGGAAGTGTACAAATAGATGCCTACTCAAAAAATAAAGCCAAATGCAAATTATATAATTGATTTATAATACTTTTACTTGGTGTAAACATTACGTATAAGAAAAAAAGTTGAACCCATAAGGCAACCCCATTTTTGTTATTACCAGATTTAGCACTAAGCACATTCAAAATAATTGTTTGGAGATTATTATTTATAATAATATCTAGTTCATAAACAATTTGTGCCGAGGTGATTTGTAACTTGCTAATAAAATATAAGTAAATTTTTCTGTTTAAATTATTTATCCCTGTTATTTCTCTGTACTTGTTTTATTTAATGGATCAAATCGTGATTTATATAAATTTAGGACAAATGAAAAATCCAAATTTTATATCCTTTTTTTTTTTTTAAATTATTGATTAAATATATTTTACATCACCTTTGCTTGAATATAATTTTTAACATCTTGTTTTTTTTTCATCTTCATTTTTGATTTAAATCTAATGCTGATTCGACAACTTTAAATTAGAGCGAAATTTCGTGATTTAAGGTCAGCTAACCTTTACTTCCACATCCTCATCATCATAATTCTATTATAATCCTTCAGGACATTGACTTGCCACTAAGGCGGTTGTAGATAATGAGTTTTCTCTTGCTCTCTGCTTGTCTTATCTACTGTCACTCAAAACTGGAATCATGTATAGCCAGTCCCTATATATTGTTTAAAATATGATTATAATGATATTTCATGCTATGCTTCTTTAGACATCATCAGACATGTCCTTAATGCTCTGCAATTGAGAAATTGATAAAATATTGGGCAATTTCCACGAATGTCTTAGATTAGCAGTTGGAGCAGTCCCATCTAATGGGCAAAGGGAAGGAACATTTCTGGGCAGACTTCGATCATCGAGCAAGATCCACCACTTGTAACCAAGTTGCCAAGCGAGCAAATGGTTCACCTGATGTTAAGTGAATACCGCCGCCCATGGACATCTGCTACACTCGAGTGTTCCAGATGCGTTGACAACCTTTTGAAAATTGGGCTCTGGCCACCTCACTCACCAGTCGAAACGCGAATGTATTAAACTTCTACTTTACGCCGGTCTTCACTGTGAGGTCGTGGTACTTACCCGGATGAGCCTGTCCATTCGTGCAACAGCCGAGGCTGCTGCGTGTCCCTACCACCGTAAAACCACTTCCATAGGGAGGGAGCTTTAACAACGAGTAGCGTGAAGTAAGCGTCGTTCATATGGTCAGCATATCGTCCCTCCGTGTCCTGGCCTCCAGGACTGAAGCTATCCTGGCAACGGCGTCTGCAAGTTTTCGCATCGCCTCCGCTTGCATTAGCATCGCTTCGGCGCTACTGGCCGCCGCGCCAGCGCGCTTCGACTCTGCCCTGGCGCGTATCAGCTCCGCTTCGGCTCTCTTCTTCTCCACTTCTATTAACCACTTCGGGTAGAGGCCTTAAAAAAAGATATGTCGTATACACACTGAGACTGCGTGGGAAACGCATACTAGTCAACATTTAATACGGGAAAAAATTACTCCTCGGCCATCTTGTATAATATAGATTAACTCTTCATGTTGGTTATAGTTGGTCTACTGTGGACGTTTTCTGCGAATATCACGTAGAGAAATATCGAGCATAGCCCGCTCCAGTGCTCACTGAGCGATTTTGAGCTTCCTCATACGCCTTACTAATGCCTTCAATGTATTGTTGTTTAGTTAGTTCTGAATATGATCATGGTGAGTGGTGCAGACCACCATTGAAATTGTTAATTTTATATGAAGGTACTTATTATGTGGTGAGCAGTGAAATAAAACATTGTGGAGAAACTACATAAATTTGTAAATATGTGAAGTCTTCAATGTGGGGTCGCCCTAACCTTCTGTACAGAGGAGCCTTTACCCAGCAGTGAGACATGTACATTTAATTTACTATTAACATGTGTATGGAAATAGCCTAATTCAGACAATCCAATAATGGCATATACTTCCAGACAATAATTATAAAGCTTACTTTGTATGAGAGGCTCGTCCGAGTTCTGGTCAGAATCATCCTCATAGTCATGGTTGGTGTCGCCACTATCGTCACTCACTTTATCGCCGTCTGGAACAGTGGATGTTGTGAAATTATGAAAATTCTTGTCTATTTACATAAAACTGAGTAAATTAACCAGAAGAATTTGGTTTTTATGTGAGAAGGTGGCAAGGGTAGTTAGCAAATGCATTGCTACTTTTTAATAAAGTGTGCCCCAGCTACCTCACTCACCAGAAGTGTAATACTTCCACTTCACGCCGGTCTTCTGTGAGGTCGTGATACTCACCCGCATGGACCTGCCTATTTGTGCAACACTGAAGACTGTTGTGTGGTCCTACCATTGTTAAATGTATATACTGCACTAACTAGTTGCATCAACTATAAACCGCCTACGTCGCTTATCAATACATCGACGGGAACGCGTACGCAGACAGCCAAAACGAGACATACTTTCTGTTCACCAGATAAGACATATGCTTTTATACAAACGAGACATTAAATCAAGTAGACTCGGCCATCAATATGAGACACAGATGGTTTAAGAACTAAACAAGCCTTTACTGTTTGATGCTTATGAACTGTAACAGCCTCTGCGACTCATCCTTTCACCGTAGTATCAGTGCGCTCGGCACAGAATAGTGAAACTCACTACACACATTTATCCTCCCCGTGTGTTCTACATGGGCATTCCTACAATTCCTTACCTGACAATCTATCGCTGCCATCACTCTGTGCATTACTGTACTCATTAGACACATTCTCTTGACAAGTTTCTAATTTTACTTCAGGTGGAAAGTGGTTCTACAAAAAAAAAAGTTATTCAGATATTTAAAATGATTAACAATAGACATAAATAGCTGACCTATAGTGGCAATAATTGTATTTAGTGAAATGTAAAATATATCAATCTAGAAATGTTGGTGATAAAAAAAGCAGTTTTTTTAGATCATTGTTATACTTGAAACAATTAACAAATCAAAAATAGGGGAAAATGTGGCCCTATCTATAGTTGTGTTGAGCAGATTAAAATGAAATTAGAATATACTTACAGATAAAGCATTATGGAATGCATCAACAGTGTTTCTGGTCTTCTTTCTATCAAAGTGGGGTCCTAATATTACCAATGCCCTCTTTTCAAGCTTAGTCAATGGCCTGATACCTTTTTTAGATGTAGATCCTGATCTCTTCCTTTTATTAATTATACTCACTTTATTTTTCAGTTTATTTTTAAAGTCGCTCCAATACTGAAAATAATTATTCAAAAAAAAAAATGATCATGTTTGTAGTTCAAGAGATATAGATTAATATCTCAAAATTTTTTTGTAATTAAATTTCATCACAGTAAAATTGTTTTTCACTGTCATGTATGTATTTATTAACTTTATTATAAAATTTATACATATAAAAAAATTTTTGAATGACTTAAGAACATTTAACTTTTCTCTAATATTTAAGAAATAATAAAATTTTCAATAAGCTATATGCTTATGACCATTGGCAACAGTGATAGCTTACAAAAGGGGGATTTGTTTGATTTCTGAAAAACATACAAAAAAAATACCTAAATTCTACTGTTAACACACACAAACGAACTTGTGTGCAGATGCATACAGGGAGGTTTTTCTAAGTGTATCCATTTTTTTCAATTAAATTCTAGACATAAATGATGTTATATAAATAATTATAAGTATTTAAAATCATTCGTAATTGATTAATTACATTCATTGCTTATCTTAAAAAGTGCGTGATTTATGGGCAACTCATTTATTTTACGTGCGATCATTCATAACTAACACGCACACAAGTTGGTATCAAATGTATATGACACATTTATGAATGACTACCACATTGTCAACAAGTTCTGACAATATTTATCAACAACAATATTTATCATTTTTTATATGACATTATTTATGTCTAGAATTCAATAAAAAAATGGATACAGTTAGAAAAGCCTCCCTGTATAAATTAAAATTCTATGAGGTACCGGAATTTTGTGGACCTTCACACCAAAAATAAAAACAAGGTGTAATAAAATATATTTGTACTTTTTCATTGTCGAGTTGTACTTTAATTTCTGTGATTATTGTGTTGAATATAACCTGTTTTACTAACTGATATTAGTTAAGAAAATTTTTGAGATGAGTGGTAATAGGTGATTTGAAGCAATAAGTAAATAAAGTAATAATTTAAATGTAAGTATGCCAACACCACAGGAATAAACAGACGACATTTATCTTGACAAACCTTACTCCATCCATCTGAAGACTTTCGAGTACCAGTACGACAGTTATTGAGAATCTTCGTTAGTTCACCCCATAGGCGTTTAGATGTATGACGCGCTTCCAGGGAACGTAAGCTGCCAGTGGCAAATTCCACATGCTGTCCCATGAAGTCTATTATCGATTTTACCTGTTCATAAGCTACATGCCGCGAAGAACCAGTATTTTCAGTCATATTCAGCGTTCTATAAACCTATGTTAATATAAAACTTAAATGCATGTTCATGTTTATTCAAGCAACTTAAGTTATTTGTCTGAAAATAAGACTTTTTCGAGTTTATATAATTTAGAAGTACATTTACATTTGTTTATATTATGCTTCAATAAACAAAATGCGACAATAACACCAGTCTATGTCTTAGTGTTGTACTTGACACATTCTATTTTAATAACAAATAATAATACAGACACTATCGATAACCCGTTATGTTACGAGACATCAATTTGCAAAGAAGATTTTCTTAGTCTGTACACAGTCTACATTCTAGTTCTCGTCGAGTTCAACTTCACTCAGTAATTCTACATACATGAATGTTGAATGCAAATACTTGACCAGCTGACAATTATATTTTGAAAATCTTGCTGAAAAATTTCGTATAAAATGCTAGGAAACAACATTTAAAACCTAAACTATGCTTGTGAGATTATTAAGGTGCAAGAGTATAATATCGTGAATTGAGAGTCATATGTTGTAATGGCAACAAACAACACCTGTCTTGTCTGCGCGAGTGTGCGCGGAGAAAATTTAAGAAAAAATAAAAAAAGGAAAGAAATGGCAGTTACTAGAGAGAAAGAAAATTGTTCAAGAAAAATTAATGGAAATATACCCGCATTATCGCTTAATAGTGATAATATGTCGACATCCACGGATAGTGACGACGTAGCGGACCCAACATACGAAATTAGGAATATTCGAAGTATTATAAACGTGACCCGTGAAAATATTGATGCTTTGAACGCCAAATTTGCTGGATTTCAGCACCCGCCTCCACTGTATTTATCCGAGTATCAGGAACTGACTTCAAAATTGCATAACTTGGAAGGGACTTTAAGAGAGTTATTGCAATCAGAATCGCCGGATAGGAGTGAAGAGTGTTCCTTGCAAGATGACTCCAAGAAGTACGATACTCTTACGCGTCAGCCAAAGGTGTTCCTTAGGGCTCACCTGCCTAACCAGCAGCGTACCAGTGTGCAGGTGAAAGAAGGGGTAACGCTTCGTGATGCGCTCTCTAAGGCGCTGAAGCTTCGGAATTTGACTTGTGAAATGTGCGAAGTGGTTAGAACAGGAAATAATGAAGTGATACCATGGGATGTAGACATCACCCTGATTGACGCGGAAGAGGTATGTCTTGTAATCTCGATTTTATAGTAGTTTGTCATTAAAAGGTAAGAAAAATCCATAGAAGTAAATCATGAGTCTTAGAAATAAATTAAATTATCTTACTAAATATGTTTAAATATTTATCTTTACATTGTTTTCTATTCATTTATTTTTATTAATGTTAAGTGTTTGGAAGCTTAGAAATATATTAAAAAAATGCATCACTGACAAGTTTATTAGGTATAAATTGTATAGAACATACCAAGTATGGTCACTGCCTGTAAACAACAAACTTTCTTAATTAATTAATTTTTTTATTAATTTGTAACTAACACTTTAATACAATAATTGCTAGTAATTAATATGATAATATAATGATAATGAATTCATATGAGAAGAACCTAGTGCCTTTTTTGTTATTAATAAATGAAAAATAAAAAACATTTCTATATAAATCTTGTACTCAGAACTTATGTTTTTAGATTATATTTAGAACTTGTATAAATAATATTGTCAATGTTTGGCAGGTCACTGTCCGGACATTAGACAAGCTACCCATAATGTCCCACATATCGCATCAGTTTACTCGGAAGACATTCTTCACATTGGCATTTTGTGAGTGCTGCCGTAGGTTGTTATTCAACGGCTTCTACTGCTCACAGTGCAATTTCAAGTTTCACCAGCGCTGTGCTGACAAAGTTCCTAGCATATGTCATCAGGTAATTAACACATATTATTATGCACTGTTTTATAAAACATAGTTCGGCAAGCTCTTGTATTAGTTAAACTATGTGGAGAACACAGAAACAGCTCTTGTAATTGACATTTCATCAAGCTTGGTAAGTCCTAAAAAAGAGAAATGAGGAAAGTTATGTATATCCTGTTGTAAAGTTTTGGAAGGGGTATTGAACAGTTATTGAACATTGTTGTGAATTAAAAAAAATGTATATGTAATGTATAAATACAGAACCTAGATAAAATAAAAAATAAAAACTTTCAAATGAGAAATTTGAGCTGGGCTGTAACTGATTTTGAACACAATTAATTAGAAGAAATTGAAAATTCATGTACTTTTTGTTAAATTATTGTTTACACAGAATTTTTATTCATCAAAAAAGGAGAATGATTTTATATTATGTAAAAGACAAACACAAATATTGACTTTCATATATTTTATACACAATCTGTAACCATTGCAGATGAGAGTTACGGACACTTACTATGCTGCACTGTTGGCACAGAATCCAGAGACGCAGGCGGGTATCCTGCACTACCCCTCACACTTTGGGTACCATCACATGATGAACAGGGGTGACCAGAACAAGTCAGCATCACTTTATTATTCAGCATTTCATCTTCAATCAAGTAGACCTCATATAACTTTGTATTTTAATGTTTCTCTCAACATGAACTTTGTAATATGATTGTTACTGTAAATGTTTCGTTTGAATGACAAAAATAGAAGCTTATTGGTAGAGGTCTGTTTCAATAAGCTTTAGGTAATGACACCTGTTCACTTTTATGGCAAAAACGGTTGTCTGAGTTCATCATCGCCATCTTTTTAAACAGAAATAGAATTCTTATTGACACCATCTATAAAAATACCAAATTAAGATATATCCTAACCCTTTAGTTCTTAGACAGGTTCTGTAATATACACAAGTAATGAGAAATGCAACATTAAATTTGGAATGTTATGCACAGGTCTGTCTCCCCGGCTAAGAAGATGAAGGACTTTGATGTTCACTGGTGAATATTAGGATAACCGCAGAGTTGTGCTTTAACCATATCCTGCTGCTGACTGCTTGCCGTTGCAAATTAATATTGTGCATCAGCACTTACAATAGCATAATATTCATTTAATTTATTAATCTTCATTTTGTTCAGTTTCATATTGAACAATAATATGATAAATTAGCTTTTTGATGTTCTTTTTTTGTTTTGTAGATGTACGCTTTGTGTGTTTAGATTTTATTCAATATTTTATGTTGTTCCCACTGTTACACTAATTCACTTAAATAACCAGGGAGTTGCCATAAACCAAATGTCTATCTTTAAAATCAATTTCAAACTTTATAAATGACACAACGGAACAATAATATTGAATAGTAATCCCCTTTTATAATTAGTTCAAAATGGAAAGTTTGGAGAGTTAACAAGCGTTTGGTGAATGATTTTTGTCCGCCTGGCAGGACACAGCATCCGCGCTCCTTGAACCAGCAGGACCGCTCCAACTCTGCGCCTAACGTTTGCATCAACATGGTGCAGAGGCCGCTCACCTTGGCTGATCACCACAAGAAGAATAATCAGGTATATTCAGACGTTTATTGACTCATTATACCTCTGTCATTGCACTCTATAACTAGATGCCAATACCTTAGGTAGTGGCAAACGCTTCAGATTTGTTTGACCAAATCAACTGAGGTATGACCTTAACCAGGGCATGCTTTGATTATTTTTTTCGTTTACGTTGGTATTTAGAAATAAAAAAATAGGTATAAAACCGGCCAAGTGCGAGTCGGACTCGCGTACAAAGGCTTCCGTCTATAACTCTCAGTAATTGGGTCCCGTTTTTCCCTTTGGGTACGGAACCCTAATAAAAATACTTCTGTTTGATAGCTATGTTTTGAAAGTTATATATTGAATCATATACCTGTATTTTATTGTGCAGACCAACAATTCGCCTCAGTCGACGAAATACCTCACGTCGGGCAGACACAGCAAGGACGACAGGGATAAGGGTGGTGAGCAACACAGCCAGAGCACGCAGGTGACCATTATATTGCTTATGTAATGTATTGTATTAGTATTATGTGCGGAAGGGTTTGGGTATTAAGTCTCAAAGGCCACGGCGACCTAGAAGATCTATTGTAGTCTTACCTTCGAAGAAAGATAGCCTCCACCAAACCAACAACCCGAACAAAGTTGACAGTCGATGAAGGGCTAAGTTTTGGGCTTGTTCATTTGCCAACTGGCGGGTGGTTGATACTCGGTATAAATGCGACGGCCACGGCGAATGGCCTAGAATGGCTGACTGTAATTGTCTTTTTTAATGAGTTTAACACCTTGTTAACCAACTGGCGGTTCAGTTGATGTTGAGTGATGACCACCGCCCATGGACAGATGCGATTGGCTGTTTTAGATACTGCATCCAATGGCGAGCAGATGCGTCGACGAGCTTTAAAAAAAGTAGGCCCCGGTTACTTAGAGACTAGAACTTCCACTTTGTGACGATCACGAGGTTCAGCGAAGACAGTTACATGGCCCTACCAAAAAAAATAAAGCAATACAGTAAAGTAAACACTAACAGCCTGTGCATATCACACTGTTGGGCAAAGGCCTCCTCTGTACAGAGGGTGTTAGGGCATCGTCCACCACACGTACATTCGAAACATTTTTCTCTCATTCGCTTCATTATCCTCATGATGTTTTACGTTACAGTTTTATATTTAAGAGTGTTGTAAAATTATTGGGCCTTATCGGGCGTTGTGAAAGGGGGCTAGACGGAAAAAATTCTCACGAAAAGTTGTAACGACACTTTTTGCTATAGTAAGCATTAGCTTATATATACATTAATATATATATATATATATATATATGTACTGTGTCTGTCTATTCTTTCATACACGTCATAGATGCGCGGGACTTTGTTAACACAATAATCGAAAGGAACTTCGTTCCATCCGTCCCTTGACACCTCTCAATTTATTTTGTTATAAATATTGGTGTTTGAAGAGAGTAAATGTTTAATATCCCAGGCGTCGCCCACCGGCACGCTGCGGCCGCGGCGAGCGCGCGCCCGCTCGGCCGACGAGTCATGGAAGCACGCGCTGTCGCCGCGCGAGAGCTACGACGACTGGGTCATCCACGCCGACGAGATCCTCATCGGCCCGAGGATAGGTGCGCTCCTCGCCGCGACCCTCACTGCTGCGCTGGACATAGCGGTGTTCACACAAACATGTGTCCTAAAATAAATTTAAAAAATATATTACAATTACTCCGCTGTCCGTCCGTCCGGCCAGGCTGTGGCTCGTGAACCGTGACAGTTGGACGGGTGAAATTTTTCACGGACGACGCATTTCTGTTGGCACTAAACAGCGGATGCTACAAAACAGAATAAGAAAATGTTTAAGTAGGACTCCCATACAACAGACATAATGGTACTATGGGTGCACTACCGGGTTATTAATTTAAACACGGTGTACTGCACACTCATAAACTATATTTTCAATAAATATAGACACACGTTAACAAACGAACAAAATGGAGGAAGATACAGCACAGAAGTTAGATAAAGCGAAGGCGACAGAAAAGAATACTATATGATATATAAAACAGACAAAGGAAAATATTAAAGCAATTGCGCGAGCGTATAGCGGGCCGTACTGATTGGAAATCGAGCGTGCATTCGCCGAGGTGTAGTGCAGCCGACTGATGTTCCCTGCGTCCGCGCCGCTGGTCGTCGCGCGGATCGTGTGCACGTACACTCCAACGCGCAGCTATACAGCGCACCATCGAAGTTCGCGCGCTTCGCTTGCGCCCCGGTTCCACTCGCTCGTCATCAATATTTAGTGGTCCCTACAGTACGATACCTTTTGTGCGAGTCCGACTCGCACTTGACCGGCTTTATTTATACGTTCAAGAGCTTATAATACGCCTATATTGGATAAAAAAAATTGACTCTGACTTCTAAAATGCCAATCACATTTTATGGTGATCACATGGGAGCTAAATGCCCTAGGCGACGCCTCTGTTGCACTAACTGGTCTACAAGGCTTGTGGTGTGTTCCGCTCGCAGGGTCGGGCAGCTTCGGGACGGTGTACAAGGCGCACTGGCACGGGCCCGTGGCCGTGAAGACCCTCAACGTGAAGACGCCCACGCCCGCTCAGCTGCAGGCCTTCAAGAACGAGGTAATGCGCAGGGCCGTCTGACACATGACGACTTTTGCATTGTGTTGATAGTAAGAACACGACAAAAACAAACCGAAAAGATACGAGATGCGAGAATAATTGAGAATCTCCGAGTAGAATAGGTACACACGAATCTTATCGCTTGGCGGCTGTCGTGGATATTGAGGGATGGCAACACAAATTTCACGCGGCGAAACGACTATCTGTGGGTCAAATAAATAGTTGTCCCGTGTGGGAATCGAGCCCACGCGCCCCGACGCCGAATACATTGGCAACCACACCACGGAGTCATAGAAATGTCCGTGGTTGGTGGTCATCACTTAGCATCATGTCGCTTGCCAACTTTCGATTCAAATCACATCATTTATTCATCGAAATAAGAAATATACATTTCATTTATCGATAGTCATTTTTTAAATCTACCACCGTTTCGTAATGAGGTTCCTCTAACGGAGAAGAAACAGGCGAAAGAAACTCCGTAGGTATCCTCTTTTTTGTCATTTTTTTAACTCAACAAATACATAGTTATACAGTAAATTTTTTTTTTTTTTAGAAACAGCTTATTAGCGATCATCTAATTCCCAGGGGTTATTATCGTTAATGTATTCATTTATATTATAATAACCCTTTTTAAAGAGTTTTTCTTTAATAAATTTCTTGAACCTGTTAATAGATAGTCTTTGCACATTAACTGGGATTTTGTTGTGGATTTGATTTGATCTGTGAAAAACGCAGGTGGCTGTGCTGCGCAAGACCCGGCACTGCAACATCCTGCTGTTCATGGGCTGCGTGTCGAAGCCGTCGCTGGCGATCGTGACGCAGTGGTGCGAGGGCTCCTCGCTCTACCAGCACCTGCACGTGCTCGAGACGCCGCTGCCGATGCTCTACCTCATCGACGTGGCCCGCCAGACGGCGCAGGGCATGGACTACCTGCACGCGAAGAACATCATACACAGGTGCCGCTCATCATGCCCGGCACAGCACAGCACAGCACAGCGCCCGCAATTTGACCCCCCTGCACGCACATTTTCACATCCACATTCCACACTGACGCACACTAACAGAAAATAAAACACGCATAGTGCATAACGCACTAGTATTATGACAATGGAAGTTTGTAAGTGCCTTTTGTGCTCTCCAGGTTAAGGTTTAAAGAGGTTTTCAATTAATAATGAGCGCGTGTAACCTTTACACGCGGTAAAAGTAAAACTAAAAAAAAATAATTGATAATAATTTAATTTATTGCTAATGTATTGATTAAAAACAAATGATTAATGTTTTCCTTTATTTTAAATGTTTTGTTCAGATACATATTTAGGTATGAGTTTATTGCATAAATATTTAAAAATCGGATGCTATATAAACGCATCTTCGACGTAACGCGTTTGCAATGTCGCCAAGAAGTATTATTTTAAGAATGGAACGAGCCCGCATTCTGGAATAATTGATAAGATAACTATGTTTTACCCCTAAAACACACATGATGTACATGGTCTACATCATTTATATACTTATTGCTTAACATAAACTCATACTCTAATTAAAATAAATCACATGTAAAAAACTGATGCTGTCATTTTGAGAGCTTTCAAGCACACTGACTTTTTGATCTATCTCAAATGAAGCTATAAATTCCAGGGATCTGAAATCGAACAACATATTCCTGAGGGACGACTGGTCCGTGAAGATCGGAGACTTTGGCCTGGCCACGGCGAAGGTTCGATGGTCTGGTGAGTCCACCACTTTTACAAGTTATACTTTCGCTTTTCCAATCTAATATAATGATCAATCATTCAATGTAAACGAATATTTTTTTTTAATTATGGATTTTGTTTAACGTTAATATTTTTTTATGATTATTGGCTAGTAGCGTTAGACGTGTGTTCATTTATTGTCGCGATGGTAACGACACGCTGTATTTGCAAAAATTTCAAAACACTCTTATTTTCTAAATAATAACAAAAAAAAAATATTTCGAAGATATGTAAAGTCCGCCAATCCGCAGTGGGGCCGCGTGGTGGATAGTCTGATACCGTCTGTACAGAGGAGGCCTTTGCCCAGTAGTGGGACATGTATAGGCTGATAATTACTTTATTCTTAGCAATATTAATAGCGGGTCAATGACGATAACAACACGACGCGCAGAGTCATCGCTGGCGGGCGGCGTGCAGTGGCAGCAGCCGACCGGCTCGATCCTGTGGATGGCGCCCGAGGTGATCCGCATGGAGGAGCCGGTGCCGTACACCTTCCGCTCGGACGTGTACGCCTACGGGGTGGTGCTCTACGAGCTGATGGCCGGCGAGCTGCCCTACTCGCACCTCAACAACAAGGACCAGGTACGGGAGAGGGGATGACACAAATCGCTTGCCAGGAGCGCCTCTGTGGCATCTCACATATGCACCTGATCGTAGCTGATCAAGCCCAACAACGCTGACGCTAATAGACCAACATCGACGCAGATCTTTTGTCCTTTTTGGATTAACCGAAGTTGATCTGTAGATCAATTATACACGAATGAGGCACGAATGGGAGGGCTCGAACGGAAAAGTACAATGGCCTCACATGACATTGAACAACACAGAAGTTAGCCTAATGCAAATATAATTCTAGTTTAAAGGCGCCATTATATAAAACATACATAAGAAAACTAAGTAACTCACTCTGCTGGCTCAGCGACCTGAAGTGGGTCTTGGCCTCCGAGACGAGATGGCGCTCACGCGCCCCATCTTGTGCGATCTCCATTGTGTGTGTGGTGTGAACATGACACAATTAAAGAGACCGCACGTTGTTGAAAACAGCCAAATAGGTCGACTCGACATTGTACCCATTTAGTTATAGAAATAAGTAATTTTGAATTTGGAACTTTCGACATGTGCAGATCCTGTGGATGGTGGGGCGCGGGCTGCTGCGGCCGGAGGCGAGGCGGCTGCGCGCCGACGCCCCTCAAGCGCTGAAGCGGCTGCTCGAGGACTGCATCAAGTTCGACCGCGAGCAGCGGCCGCTGTTCCGCCAGATCCTGGCGTCGCTCGAGTGCATGCTGCGCGCGCTGCCCAAGATCACGCGCAGCGCCTCCGAGCCGAGCGTGAGCCGGCAGCTGCACGCCTCCGACGACTACCTCAGCTACAGCTGCGCCTCGCCCAAGACGCCGGTCAACTTCCAGTTCAACGCGGACACCAGCTTCCCCGCCTTCTACGGGTGGGCCACCGCTGTTCAACAATGTGCAACAATACTGACTCGTATTGTGGCGGGACACAACTTGGACTTAGCTACAGTGCATTGCATTGAATAGGCGCAAAATACAGAGTATTTGTGTTTTGCGTGCAAGCAGTTGGGTAGTGAGTCGCTGCGACCTAGAAAGATGTGTTGTAGTCTCCCCTTCAAAAACATTGCCTCTTTAAGACAGCATTATCCTGTGTTTTAAGAACGTTTTACATACATCAATTTCAGGCGGACCAATACCCAGGTCGGAAACAATTATCTGGGTGGGTCACACAAATGGTTGTCTTATGTGGGAATCGAACCCACGAGCATCGGCGCCGAAGCCAACGCCTTGGTAACTGCGCAACGGAGTCACGGTTGGACCTTCCAGTTCATTGACATCACCTGCTTCAATTTTTCACTTCACAATTGACATAAGAGAAGACGATGAACAAGCAACTAAATGCTAAAGTATTTTTCCTTCTTTTTTTTAAGTGGTCATACTACAGAAACAGCATCATGGTACTTATACAGGACAACATTATACTTATAGGTATTTCAAACTTTCCAGAATCCCAGTGCCGAACCAGCGGCACCCCTAGGATGTGCTGAAGGGCTACGACTAGCTCGCCGACGCGGTCGGACGCCGGAGCCTTCGCCCCCGCCGGAGACTCCGCCCTCGCTGGAGCCTTCGCTCTTGGTGCATTCGCGAGCCTCCATGTCGCTTTTGGCGTCCTGACAATCTGCTGGCATCTTGGAAACCATCTGGGAAACCTCTTGGCAATCGGTTCGCAATTCGGCGGCGAAGACGCTCTTCTGATAACCAACCTCATTCACACTTTTGTTCTATCCATATCGGACCTTCGGAGCGCCCCTGTGGTGTCAATTGATATGGGGCCCACAGTCCGCGAGTTGAATTGTGATCAAGTGACGTCGAAAAGAGACTGTGCTTCATATGCTATTAACGTTTAACGATCTTCTATAATAAAATACGACGGCGAGCTGTATATATTAGTTTAAGGGTTTTCCACAATCCAAACGCGTGCGGTGTGTCGACGAATGCCACGGTTTTACCGTATAAATATACACCCTTGGACTCTATGCATTGTGCGTTCATGATTAGGCTTAGTTTTCACCAGCGCAGTGATTGGAACATTCATGAGGTCTTATGTCGCGGTTGTACTCCTACGGTTGGTGGTAAGCAAACTAGCTCGGAAAAAGCTTTTCATTCTTGCCGAAAACACTTCCACATGTTTGCTGAAGTGAATATATAAGGCATATGTACGTTGAAATCTCAAGGCACAACGCTAGTGTGTACACAGCCTTAGCCTGGTTTAGAAGTAAAACGAGCACTGTTTGCGGCAACACAAGTCTCGCGTCGTTCGAAGGAAATTTTGCATGTAATATTGGGCGATGGAGCCCTGATAGCCGGTGATAATTTAAAGGCGAAATTTGCTAGATTCGCTCGGTGTGCTCAAATAACAGGAGAAATAAGATTTCTTTAATCGGACTTTGAACAGGTGATATCAATAATGGATTTGAACAACAACTAATTTGTTTGGCAATCGAATCCAGGACTCGGTTGGGAGATGATTGATCGCTTAGGTTATTATTAAAGTATTTATTTTTGTGATATTCTCGAAGCTCGCGTGTTGGTTATTTAATAGTACTATGCTGTAGTTTAAGATTTTCTTTGTCATAAATGTATCACCACCACCCACAATCACATGTGATAGAAATTTTTTTTGGATTGTATAATCGTAGTGTCATTGCATTGTGTGCATTTAAGTCGCGAGATTAGTGAATAAAAATCCTTACTTTTCTGGGATTTTTTTTTTCAACTGAAACATAAAAAGCACACCATTTACTGGGAAAATGTAAAATAATAATTTAAATTCGACCCCAAAAAGGCAGCCGTGTACTGGTGTCGGCCAGAATAAGAACGTCAAGAGGCGTTTCAAATATAATAATGTATTCGAAAGTATTATTTATGTAATGAAAGATTCGAGCGCAACCGGGTGCCGCGCCACTGCGTAAATTATTCGTAACGATTGTAAATAACTTAATGTAATTAACTTAACTCGGAGTACTAAGGACACTTGTATAATATAGATAGTTTTAACGAGTAACTACCGATTCTAAGGGATACAATAAATTATTGTTTCGATTTAATAATGCATTTCATTTTTACCCGTTTATAAGTTTACATGTTTGGAGTAAATACATCCGAATGGTTTGTTGTTAGTGCACGTTTACGTTTACGTAATCCCAATGTATGTGTTCGGCGTCTTCGGCGTAATCTACGCATATGCAAAAACGGGATGAGCCAAGCCAAAATTTTTGATAAATTATCATACATATATAAAACCGGTCAAGTGCGAGTCGAACTCGTGCGCCGAAAGTTCAGTATCTACCCATTATATAGCCATAACAAAACTTGTAAGTACCGATTTTTTCAGGAACAGGTGGACCTTGCAAGTTGAAATTTGTACCAGATACTGAGATCTATAGATTAGGTATATAAAAATCAAGGTCCTGAGTCCATACGATAAAGAATATGGGCAAATTTAGATTTTCGCGTAAACTTGTACATTACAACTTGCTGGGTCCACCCGTTCGGCGGTGACACACGGACGTGATCTTATAAGGGTTCCTTTTAAGGTAAGGAATCCAATCCAAAACAAGGAAACCAAAAAAAAAAGACAATTGAACTTACGTATTCATGAAACCCAATTGTATGTGATTAATATCCAGTTCAGTAAGTTTCCGAGGTAATAAGCTAGTATTAAAAATAAACATGTTTCATGCACGCCTATTTGAAGTTCATGTAGTAGTATTCGCAAAATCCTCCTCGATTCAATTTTTTTAAACCAAGGTTTTGATGAATATTAATACACCCTGAGCAAAAACACAAAGATGGACTTCTAGAATTTAAAAATTTTACCATCCACGAGGACGAGATAAACAGGGAGGCTTTTCTAAGTGTATCCATTTTGTTTAATTAAATTCTAGACATAAATAATTTTTTATATTAAAATGATAAATATTTTAAATCACTCTTAATTAATTACATTACAAAAAGTGCGTGATTTATACGCTACTCATTTATTTTACGCGCAATCATTCATAGTTATGAATGATTGCGCGTAAAATACAAGCACACGCACGCAAGTTCGTTTGTGTGCGTGAACAGCAAAATTTAGGTATTTATGAATGACTACCGTTTCACGGTTGTGTTTCAAGTTGTTTTTAAGGGAATAGAATGGTAATTTTTTTGAAAAAAAAAAGTTTGTTTTAATTTCAATAAAGATTATATCTATCGAGTTTGAATCTCCTGTGTAAATTTGGGCACTTTTAAATAAGTCTCACTGTTTATAATTTATTGGTGGTGTTGACGTATACAACTTGACATTATATGAGAAAAGGACGATGATGGAAAAGAAGTTTATCGCCACTGCGGGAGTCGAACCCACGTGTTTCGGATTCGCGCGCAGTTGCTTTAACCACTAAACTAAACTACTGAATTTTAATGTTCCATCTTAAGAGTAAAACAGAGATTAGCATTATAAAAAATTAAAATCAAATGTTTTAGATTAAGTTATACACATTTTTTGCAAACAGTAAAGCTATATGTCAATTCAAAATTGGGTAAATATAAAGAAAAACATTTAACACAACATCTTTATTGACGTCTTCAAAACAAACATGGCTTATGTTAAAATCAAAAGTAGGTACTTACTTAAAATCAATTACTAAGTTTATGCCATACTAGCTATATCCTGCCTGCTTTGCTGGGTCATACCATCTTCTTAAAGTAAGTAATCACCAACATATACAGCGTGTCCGTTACCTCCGCGACAATAAATGAACACACGTTTGCGTTAGAAGTGTGTTCATTTACTATTTTACTTGTCATAAAAAAATATATCATAAAAATTATGATCATAAAAAAATATTTACTTTAAAAAAATCCATACTTAAAAATTTTTTTTTTCAAACAAACTAATTAAGTAAAAAAGAAACAAAATTTGTAACATCCTATACAACTACAACTGATAAACTGACTGATTCATACATTCAGAGACTTTTTCTTTCTCACTCTTCTAACAGTATGTTTTGTCTCTTTAATCATTCAACCCATTCATATGCTTTGTGACCTTTACAAATGAACTTTACGTTACAGTTTTATATGTAAGGGTGTTCTAAAATTCTTTGTTTTGGAAAATTTTATAACTCTGTAAATATTGATGTTTAAAACATTCTTTAATTTAACAAGTTATCCTCCATATGTGTGTTCATTTATTGTCGCGATTGTAAAGACACGCTGTATACTAAAAACCTTCTCCGAAACATGCTTATGGTATAAATATTATTCTGGTTGAGTAGTTTTCAGAGTAAAAACGAACAGAAACTCTGTCTCTCCATTTATCAGTACTTATTTAATGTTGTGTAATACACTGTACAAATCCAGGTAATAAGAGGTGATATGATGTGTAACAAATTAACAAGTTATCATGGCTCTTAACGTAACTCATGTTCAATACATAAATATTTTGCAGTTCTATAGCATTTATAAAACATGTTATTAGACATAGTCTAAAACAAGGATGAGCAACGCGCGGCCCGCAGGCCGCTTCGGGCCCCTTAAACATGTTTATGCGGCTCGCCAAGCATTTCTAAAATTGAAATTATTTTATCGAATTTCTCCCATCAATATATTGTTATAAAATTAATTATAATGAAATGGTAGTACATAATGAACCGAAATATTTTTTGTTCGTTTTTCTGTTATTTTCTTGTTTGTTTTTACCTTGCTTTAAAATTTGTATATGAAATCTTTACTTTTTTTAATTTTATATTTTTTTATTCTAATATTAATTATAAATAAAGTTTCGTAAATTATTATGTGCGGCCCGCCAAAAAATTTGAAATTTAAATTGGCCCATTGATTAAAAAGGTTGCTCACCCCTGGTATAAAATATTTAACAGAATAAGCAAAACATCATATAGTACAGCTATTACAAAATTCAATTGTTGTTAATTGTTGATTACTAACATGCAATAAAACATTGTGCATGTCTAAATTAAAAAAAACACACAAATTTAAAAAATCTTGCTAATCATTAGAACTTTCACTGTTTCCGTCATTCTCGTCGTCCACATTCATTTTTGTTTGTTTAGGTTTTACTGCAGTTCTGAATTCAAATCTTGAAACGTAAATTCTTTTACCGCCAATTTTGACGTCTGTGGCAATTTCAATTGCACGGTCTAATGCGAGAGGTCCATCAAATTCTATGAATGCTGTAGCTGGAACAAGTATTAGAGAAGTATTTAAAATGTTGATATTACCACAAGGTCGTTAATTGAACTACACATACAAAGAATTTCATTTACCCATTGATTTCTTGCCCTTAACCAAATGTCGAATGTTTCTGATGCGGCCGGCGCCCATGAAGGTTGAGCTTAACGTCTGTGCATTCAGATCTCCATAAGAACGCACCACTAGGGTTGTTTCCATAGGGGGTAGGAGTTGTTTAACTCGTATAAAGTTCCCTTCAAACGGTGTGTTATCTTCCTCTAAAGCCTGCAGAGTCCAAAAGAGTGATTCAGATGAAGACTTTCATTTTTATTATAGTAAAACATAGATTTTTTATCTTAAGGAAAATTCACAGATATTTTTCATATTTAATTAATAGGTGCTAATCTGTCTACTAACTATTACGAAAATAATCCGAAGAAATATAATTAAGTAATAAGAATAGACTTGATACTAAAACTCAATTTTCACTTTAATTTTAAATGAAAACTGAAAAATGTTGACTTCTCATATAAACTTAGTTAGCACAAGATATTTGGGATTCGTATAAGCAAAATAATAATAGTAAATAAATGTATTTCACCTTTAATGCTGCATCATTACTATCAAAAGAGATAGTTGTGGTGAAAACAGGTTTTGGACTTTCTGTGAGATATGCCTCAAGAATGCTGTAACAAGAATAACTGTTATAAGTAACAACATTGTACACTTGGGAGTTTGTTTTAAAGGAAAAGCTGCGGACGAGAAAAATGAAGTTAACATGAAATTGAAAAAATAAAACTGCACTTAAGGTGCTTCCATCGTTTTAAGGGTTACAAAGGCCCAAACATGTCCTGTGTAATTTGTTATATCTATCATCTATCATCATCATTTGAGGCTCATGTCAATCTGGTGATTATGACATGATATCTGTCCACCACAAGCTTGTGACAGATTTCTTTGAGGCTCCAAAGTAAATTACTATTTTTAAAAAATCAGGATAATTTGTTATAGACACGAATATGATGAAAATATCAACAGTTATCATTATACGATTTCTAAATATTTTGTTATTTAGCCTTATCAAAATGTCAATAAATATTTATTTGAATTTAAGACTAAAAATGTGGAAAAATTATTACATACCCAACTTTTTTAACAGTTCCACATTTGGAAAAGTGTTCTATTAATAGCTTTTTATAATCAAGCATGATATGGACTGGAAGGTTTTCAACAAGTACAGATGACAATGCTTTATCACTCTTTATAATTGGTTTTTTTTCTTTATTCCATCTTTTTTTTGTCCATTTCTCTTTTTCTTTACCCCCTTCCAAATCAGTGGTAGGGGTACTAGGATGTTTACCTTTCTTTTGCTTATGTTTATTTTTCTTTTGTTTCTTTTTATCAACTACAGCCATTTCATCCAAGAGATTTGTCAAAGTATGCGTGTTATCACCAATGTTGAGGTTTCCGAGACCTTCTGCTACCACATCTGGTTTGATATCTTTTTTTCGTGACTTGGTTGAAGGTTCGCCTTCACTTGTCTCTACATCTTGGGCAGGCTTTGCTGAATGTTTCTTTTTTTTGGATTTTTTACTAGCTTGTATTTCCGTTGGCTCAATTTTGTTTTCAGTTAATATCTCAAAATTCTGTTTTGCTTCTTTTGTTCCTTCTTCCGCTTTTAAATTTTCTGCCTTAAGAAGTTTATTTAGTTCTTTATTCTTCTTCTTTTTTAACTTGTTTTTTGTATCCTTAGATTCAATGATATCTTGATTTGATTCTCCTATTTCTGTACTATTTCTCAAAATATTACTATCTTCGCTCACTTCATCTAATATAGGACTAGCAGCATCACTTACATTTTCTTTTTCTGCAGCTGTATTATTTTTTTTTGACTTCTTGAATTTTTTGCCTTTACTTTTTTTGCTTTCAATTTCTGAATTCTCTATATTCTTATTACTAATTGCGGGACTTTCAGATTTGGTTTTCTTAACTGCTACTTCTTCAGTGTCGTCCAACATAAAACTAACGGACTTATTTCTCTTTTTCGGTTGATTACTGGATAAGTTTTGAGTTTTATTCGAAATATTTATAGAGATTTTGTATCTGTCTTATCGTTCTTACTAGTATTATTACTTGCAGTACATTCAGATTTTACATTTTTAATTATGGACTTACTCGTGTAATGACTTTCATCAAAGCTCGCAATTTGAGGAACTTCGGGAGAGTTACCATTTTTTTTATTGTGTTTATGTAATTTTGCACTTCCACGATCTTTATTCTTTTTTTTGACTATTTTCGCATCGAACTCCTCGTCAGTTTTCAACTTTGCAGTTGTTTCGGCGGCACTTTTATACAAACGCATAAAGTCATAAGTTTTTAAATTGTTGTCCAGACTGTTCGTCTTTATATTTAATGATTTGGATTTCATGTTTGTTGATTATTAAACACATGTATCCATACAAAATATTTAACTATATTAAGTAAAAAATAATTTCAAGTAAACGATAAAAGTTTTTCGGTAACATGTGTTAATATCAAAGCAACCAAAGAGTACTTTTATATATCTGATCTGAAACTTTTATATATCTGGAAGGAACTCAATGAAACAACGTGACGTTAAGATATTAAGGTTATACTTTACGTCAACAAACGTAGTGATAATGGTAGTGGTTATATTCTCTTTCCAGGGCTGGATTTAGGTATGATGAATAAGAGAGTACATAAAATTTAAAAGGATAATATTTAAAAAAAAGTTATAGTACACTTTAAAATTTGTAGAAAAAGTACGTAAAGATTGTCACTGCTGTGGAAATCGAACCCACGTCTTCGGCATTCGCGGCCCGACGCTTTAGCCACTAAGCTAAGCTAAACAGCTGATTGCCACACTGAAGAAAATGTTAAAGTCTTTTATCTACATTGTTTTTTAGCATTTGAAGCAATGCTTGGTGCATCCATTGTTATATCCTTTCCAACATACAAACAATTTGAATACAGTTTTACAACGTTAATTCGAACGAGAGATGTCGCCATTGCTTTTTTAGGAATTAAAATTTTTTAGAGCTGATCTCTGCATTTAAGATTAAATATACAAATTTGTAGAAGAAGTACGAAAAGATTGTCGCCGCTGTTGAATTCAAACCCACGTCATCGGGATTCGCGCCCTGCCGCTCTAGCCTTAGTGGCTAAACGGCTGATTGCCACACCGACGAAATTCTCAACGTCCTTTTGTTTACATTGTTTTTAACATTTGAAGCAATGTTTGGCGCAACCATTGGTTTCATCCATTGTTGTAAAACGATATTCGAAATTTCTTGTAATATAAGTAATAATAGTAATAATAATTTTAAAACGATAATTCTAACGAGCGAACTTTTGGTCAAACAAAATACTATAATTTCCTTTATACGAATAGTATTTAGTACAAAACATGAAATTATAGTACATTATATATAATTGTAGTACATAATTCTACCCTGCCTAGGACCAGTGGTAGGAATTTGGAAACTGGAGAGTGAAGAAATTTATCGTAAAAAAATTGTCCGTCACGTACTACTCTTAAAAAAAATCGTATTACATTGAAAGAACATAATTATTTTATTTTTATTTTTAGATAAACAAACTATATTAAAGTCAAGATTAACAACACATAAACTTTATTTTTGATAAATGTAGTATGTTTGCAATTATATTTAAATATTTTTAAAATACAACTTGCAAGTTGCAACACATTAATTTCTAAATTCAATGGCGGACGCGCTTGCGTGATGCCGGTCGCATGTTATTATTACTATTGAATCGGCGTCTTTTAATGTAACTCACTGCTTCGGCTGAATTAAGCAGAAATCAAATTTACGGGTAAGTGGAAATTGTATGTGTGAATTTATTGTTGTTTTTAAGGGTTTTTGGGAAGTGTCGCTAATGACCTTTGTGGTGTAAGGTTTCGTGAATTTTCCACTCAACGCCATGCTTCATGGCGCGTTAGCTTCTTGTAAATGTAGATGCCGTTATACTTTCGCAAAGTATGACTTAAGTAAGATTTAAAAGTAGTGCAAATTCAGATATTTGCGCTTTAACGCGAGAAATTTTCTAAGTCCTTCAAGAATATAGGCGCCAAATCGATGTACGCCGCTTCTGCATAAACATACCTACTTTGATACTTATAGCGCATGGCGGGAAAAGCGTCGATGGCGGAGCGTCCATAGTAACTTTTACGTGTATTGATATTTTGCAGCGGGACATAAACATGGTGGCTCAGAAGAAAGGTCGCGGTGCAAAAAATCAAGCGGCTAAAGCTAAAGCAGCGAATCAACAAGAAGAAGTGCCGCCACCCGAAGTTGAAGCAATGGAAGGCACTGAAGAGAATAACGGTCAGACGGAATCGACTGAGCAAGGGGACGAAGCAATTGCAACTGATGAAGGCGCGGAGCCTCAGGACGGTGATCAAAGTCAGGAAAACGCTGATAATGAAACTAAGGCAGAGGAACAGAAAGAAGAGAAGGTCGAAACTGGTAAACTGCTCGTTGAGAACCTTCCATCAAGTTATCTTTTCGACTACCAAGAAAAACTCAAGGAGATGTTCTTAAAATATGGCGAAATTATTAGTGTGAAGTGAGTCATATGATCTTTCGGGTTTTTCCTTAACTTTTGAAATGTATTTGTTAACATTCAAATATCAGTCTTTCTTTCTCATTTTTTTGAAAATGATTTTTCATTAAAGAAAAGCTATAATCTAAGTTAATAATAAAGTAAAATGGGTGTTCCATTGTGCGAATTGCACTTGGACTACCGCTGTTGGAACGGAGTATTAACAAGGGAAATTTTCTTTCTTTTTAGACGTGGTCCAATCATTGTTACTGAACTGACCACAACTCCGACATTATCGGCTATAGTCGAATTCAAAAGCAAAGACTCTCTGGAAAAGGTAAACAAAAGCTTATTAACTTTTATATACATAATATTAAAAAGTCTTTAGCTAGATAATGTAGAATAATGCCATTCTTTGGAATACCAAAGAGGCACAATATTTTATGCTAAGATTTTTCCAAATTTCCATAAAAAAGTTAAGTCTTCAAGTTTTGTATATGACTATTTGAATGTTTCAAATAGCTGGTCTTCTACTGCAGTTGGCAATGGTTTGGTTTTTAATTAATTTTATGTTAAACATCAAAATTTCCAGCATTTTATTTTTGATTGTGTAGCAGATCAGCTAATGTCTTCATGTTGTGATGTCTGATTTTTTTTTAGTGTTATATTTGGTTTGTTGTTGTAACAGGCTCTAATAGATTATATATAGTCACATATTTTAAGATAGCAAAAAAACATCTACATTTGCTGTTACTATTTAGACCTGTAATTAGAGTTCCACTGCTTATAAAATAAAGACTGGATCAAAATCAATCTTAAGTTGTAACATTTTAGAGAGAATATTGCGTGTTTTACTGTTTGGTGCTTGTTGACCTTTTAACTGTATTAGGTAGTCAAGGTGCTATTCTAGATACCTTTGCCTGTTACCACAACAGACTAAAACTAATAACAGAATTTATGTATCTGTTCACATGCTGATTCCCTTATATTATAAGTGTTGAAAAACATGTCTTCTCATAGCAAAATTTTATAACTTTTTACTGTTGTGATTTTTTTTTGATAAACCGCACATTGGATGTTTATTATAAAATTAATAAACAAAGGTAAGTTTCAAACAACATTTAATACTAATTAAAGGACAGCAGTCAAACAAATGGCAGCACTATTTATGATTTAAAATTAATATATATTTAAAATGAATATTTATTTAATAATATTCGATAGTTTATATTCAGTTTTCATTTTTCTTTACATATTTGTAATTTAAAACTTTATATCTAATCAACTACAGATAAATTGTCCTGAACTTAAAGTAGGAAGTTTAACATTTAATTTTTTTGTATTAAGTTGAATATTTGCTTGTGCACAAATACCTTTGTTTTTAGAAGTTTTCATATTGAATTTCATAATATTTTTAATTGCCAATGTTGTTTCAAAGAGGAGATATAAATATGTTACTTGATAAATGGTGGACCTAAGGTAACAAAACTCTTGGTTTAAAACTAAGATAATATAAAAGATAATATTTTTTACATATATTATTGTATGTTCTATTAAATATTTAATTCACATGCGCTGCCAAAGTATTTAATGGAAATAAGCAGGAGATTATAAGCACTAAATTTTTTTGATGTTTGCCAAAATTGAAACAACTCTAGGCTGTATTCTTTATGAGCTGTATTAAACATAAATAACAAGCCATTCCTTAAAAACATCAAGGTACAAACTAACGTGTCAGAATCATTTTTATAAGAAGATGCAAATAAATTTTATGAGTTAAAGAAAATTTTCCAATTAACTTAAACCTGGAAAAGTACAAAAATTTGGTAGTTGAAATAGAAAATAACTTTAAATGAAAATGCGATAAAGTTATTTGTATATACTTTGGTTCGTCCATCCCTAATGGGTCAGCACAAAACTTAAATGCGTTTTCTCGAGCTCTACGTACGGACATTCGGGTATAAATAATGTTATGTTCGAAAAAATTTTTTTTTAACCCTGGCGGGGACGAGGAGGAATAATAAATCCTGCAGCTGATACGATTTTTGATTAGTCTATAGCGCAGTTGCTAAGCCAATCAGGTTTTGGCGCCGAGGGTCGCTGATGCGATTCTCTCACGGGACAAGCATTAGTAGATCGGTCGTAAAAAAACTCGCCAATACCACTAATAAGGCGATTGAGTCGAGGGCGCATTTGGGTTTTGCGCTCGAGGCAAGAGCGCGTGGGACTGAGCGGGCGCGGTTGTGGGCGCAGGCGCTGGCCGAGGACGGCGCCCTGGTGGAGGGCAGCGCGATCTCGGTGGCGGCCGAGTCCAGGGGCGAGACGGCCGTGCTGGTGGGCGTGCCCTACGAGGCGAGCACCGACTACGTGCGCCTGCTCTTCGCCCAGTGCGGCGACGTCTCGCACATACACGAGTTCAGCAAGACCAAGTACAAGATACGTGAGTGCGTCCAGTGTTCTTTACCACACGCTGCACCCGCGGCTCTTCGAAGACAACCTTTCAAACTTCACGTACGTGTTCTGCTTTTTTTTATGTGGAAAAAGTGGCAGACGAGCTGGCGGTGATGTCAAGTAATAACCGCCGCCCTTAGAACTTTTGCAACACCCGTAGTGTTGCAAATGCGTTGCCACCTTTAAATAAAGTGGGCCGTTGCTCACCCGACGAAACGCAGAAGTATAACACTTCTACTTTACGCCGATCTTCTGTGAGGTCGTGGTAACTACCCGGCACGGACCTGCCCATCTGCAACAGTGAAAATGCCATGTCATGTTCTGTACTTATACACAGCATGAGTCATGTGCACTTCACACTTGAGTGTGTCGTCACTTACATCGTGTCCATCAAATATTTCGCACACGTCCTTTCATTGTTGCCATGTTACCAAAACTGGCTCGCTTCAAAATTTTTGTTTCGAACTTAGGTATACATAATATTATGTATGCCAAGTGTTAATCTTATCTGCTATCAAATAATAAAACTCCCTGAGTCACAAGTTTTAAAATAGGCATCATTAAAACCAAATATTGTTTGCAATACGTGAGATTATCATGGAAATCATATAAACGCCCTTACTATTCGCCCTAGTGTACATGTTTTAAGTTTTCATGTTTGAAAGATAATAAAGTTTACAATTGACACAGTACATGTTCTGCACGATATAAAAAAAGATGTCATTCATAATTGATATATTTTTTGAAATATTTTTTCACTCGATCGTAGTGCGCGTGACATTCTTCGAGAAAGAGGCCGCCGAGAAGGCGCTGAAATTGGACCGTGAGCTGCGCATTAACGGGTTCCTGGTCACCATCACCAAATTCCGCGATGAGGAGGAGCAGAAAGCCCACACAGCCAATACCAATAAGGTATGCTACTAGTAACTTTGGATTTTTAGCTTTTATGTGTACACTTAATGAAAATTCTCTGTACAGAAAACAGACTTAACTTTTGGAAAAACAAAGAAAAGCGATAACAATGTTTAATGTTACAACAATAGTGATAATCAATAAAAATATTTAAAATTATTAACATTAAAATATTAACAAGTGTCTGAATCAAAAAATATAGATAAAATTTTAGAGAAGAAACAATTTTTCCAAAGATTGTGCGCAACTAGCATAAAATGTCTACACTAATGCTGTGTATATTGATTGATATGTTAATTTGATTGATTGATATAAATATGCGGTGCAGTTGCCACAAGTTCGATCCCCACACGGGAAAACTATTTGTCTGATCGTCTGGGTGTTTGTCTTCTTGAAATTTACGTTTGTTTAACGTCCTTTCAACACAGGATAATGTTATCCTAAACTAAGGGCATTGTTTTCCCAATCCAAGAAAAAAAAAAGGTACACTACACAACAAATTAGATCTAGACAATACGGTGTACACGACCTACGATTTGGTCGAAGGCGATCGATGCAGTGGAATTTTGCACGCGCTACAATCTGTTACTCTCGCTGTTACTCCCGTAGAACAAGCGGCAGCACGCGCAGCAGCAGAACCGCAGCACGGCGGCCGCCACGCCGGCGGCGGGGAGCCCCAACTCGCGCAACAACAACTTCCGCGCCCGCGGCGGCTCGTACAACGCGCGCGGCAACTTTAGAGGTGACCCCCTCCTTCCCTGCTCTCGCTATACAGTCGCAGACGATATTACTGCATAGTAAACTAAACTCGTCCCGCATTCTGTCTCCCTATGTAGATCTAAGCGATCTTCAAAAGTACGCAACGGATCATGATGGGGTTTTTTTTTATCAGATAGTGATTCAAGAGGAAGGTTCATATTTATGATACATTGCACCCGTGCAAAGCCGGGGCGGGTCGCTAGTAGATTATAAAAATAGACAAACCGTTTTTTTTAAGTTACGAGCTTTGAATTATGCTTTGATGTATTATATAGTGAGAGCCACTAGGGTGCACGAGTAATCACAAACAGGAGCCCCCGCGTCATATTTTTCAGGTCCAGACAAAATTATTGTAAGTCTTTAGGCCACAACTACCTTGGACTAAACAACTGACTTGTTGATCTTGGGCATTTTAACACCACAAGAAAAACAAAAGTTTTTTTTTAAAGATAAAAAAATATTAAGCGGAATGCAAAAGTATAGATACTTGTTGCGAGTTGGCGCAGACGAATCGAAAACGTGGATGCAAATTAGAGTTATAGTGACCTATTTAATAATATAAATTTTTGGGAAACATAAAATAAAGATTTGCGCAGTTGTGAACAAATGCGGTAATTAGAGGTACATTTCCTTGACATAAGCGCAAAATGATGATTTTACTAATTGGGTCCCTATGATTGTACTCTCTTCTTGTTCAGTCCATCAATCAATGCTGAGGTTCGTAACAAATGATGTTGTATAATTGTAAAGGTGTTAATCACCGTTCCGCCGCAGGGGCGCGCGGGCGCGGTTTCGGCGGGCGCGGCGGGGCTTTCCCGCGCGGTGGATTCGCCCCAGTCAACACCTACCTGCCGCCGCAGCCGTTCATGGCGCGCCCGGTACGTGCACACTGGGCGACACACGCGCGGACAGAATGGGTACCCGAGTAATTGCTAGTTAGTAGAGTATACTCGGGTACTCTAGTTAGTAGAGTAACTAGTTTGTCGTGGAACAGTCCGTTGAAAGTACTCGACGTCGCAAATAACCCCAAATAGATTCCGTATAGAGATGTAGGTCAATGCTAAAATTAATATTTTCAATTTGCAAAAAGATTTGTCTTATGCTCATAGAGAATATCTTATTGTCTTACTTCAATATGTTTTTATTTCAAATGCGTTTAGAACGTATTCGTTTAACGCTTCATTTAAAAATATATCAAAATTTGTATAATTTTATTTTTTTTTTTTTGCTATAGACACCAACCGTAAACATATTTATACATAGTTATTAATTTTAATAAACATCAATACGTAACGTATTATGTAACTTCAGTAGCATTAATTTACAATTTTTAATTATTATTTTTCAAAGAGGGTTTTTAAATACTACCCTCATTGTAGTTAGTTACAGAAACACCTTAACAAATTAACACCTGCTTAAACATTTTCGGATTTCCAGTAGTATTGCATCTCCAGTAGTTGGAAAAGCTAATACAATATAGAAGTTGGATAAACTATTACAAAACCAACATCTAATCTATAATACAATGTTTTAGAAATGAATTCAAACCTCTCAGGTTCAATCTGGACACATTCCATCATGATATGGTATGTTGGTTACATTTAGGCGATATAACTTTCTTCATAAGAAACCTGGAGTTATAAAGGTAAATATAATACATGTAAAGGTATGCATGACATTTCCAATCCTTTTGGAAATTAAATGTATCATGAATAAAATAGATAAAATTTCATTATATATCCCAACACTTCAGACTATTGTATGATCATGTTCTTAAAATAACCATTCATATTGCACACATCCTTACACCAGCACCAAAATTGACCGCCTCAAAACAGTAAAATGTTAATTATATGGCATCTATTAGGGGTTATCGGTAGATTCACAAAAACCAAACGCGAATTATGTCGTTCCTGATAAACTCGTTATCTCACGGATCATTTACTTGGAAAAACATTACTGTGACGTATATATGCATGGCGTTGTATGCACGAGTCATGAATACGTGAAAAATTACATTTAGCTGGGTGTCTATTAGTTTGTCCTCCATTATTTTTACATTTTATTTGAAAATATTTTAAGCCATTATTCATATTTGCTATTTCTAGTTTTCCAAATTATAACTCACAAATATGCACTAATATTATTATTTCTCCTAAATTAAGCTGTCATCAGTGAAAATTCAAAATATTAATGAAAAGAGTTGTCTGCAAAAAATATAAACCATATACAAGGCTCACTATGGTTGATCGTTATCATTGCTTCATACAATGAGAGCTAGGCCGAAAAATGTGTAAGAATTAGACTGTCACGAAATCCCTACCACTTTAGTGTGTTGTTTGCTTATATGTGCGAAAATAGTTGATTATACAGGATGATTTTTTAGACGAAGTACATACTTTGACAATGTTAATTGAGCATTCCATATATTCTAAAAAAATATTAATATTTTATTTTGAAACATATCAATTTAAACATTGTTTATTCCGTTAAGAGTGGTCACCCTTTTGATAAGCGGTTTAGTAATTATGCGTTCAGCGAAAAGTTTTAGTGCACGTCAATAGGTTATTGTATTGAGACGGTAAGGCAGGAATTTCTTAAGGTGTCCATAATGTTTGTTCGAAAAAAAAATGAAGTCACTAGTACCTACGATTTAGAATAAAATTGCATGCATATGCTTTGTTAATATGTCCGTCCCTTTATACTTACCCTTTATACTATGAACCGCTTGAGTTGATAATTAGTTACTGTATTTTTATTATAATTTAGGTCATTATCGTATTTTATTTTCACAATTTTGTATTTGCGTCTTTGTAACTATTTCAAATTTTTTTCCTTCATTTATTATGATTTTTTATTTAATTTATCTAAAGAACTTCGTTCCACCCACATCTCCCACAACAGTAATATACACTGGGTATTTATATGGTGACGGCAGAGTTAACTTATTTATCACACAAAACATCGGCATGCTGGTTACATAATTATCTGCACACGGTTTTCCTTCTCTGTCCCTGTAAATAAACAAAGAACCATCAATCAAATATCCTTATGTGACAAAATATAGTCTTGTGCTAAATTACATGGGTTGCCCTATTTATATTACATTTATTTTGTGCCGTAATATAAAACCCATCTTTATTTATTTAATGCTTTTGTGATTTATTGCTTTTTTAAATTTTAATCGTTTTTTTTGCAACATAGAACTGTATTTTTTTGCAATAATTTTTTTTAATTGCTTCATAATCAAACAATGCATGTGTCATTTCTTCGTGTTATCCGGAAATGAGTGCATAGAAAAATGTGCAAAGAAATGCAGTACAATTGGTAACAACCGTCCCAAAGTATGATTCTCTTAGGCCTGCTCTCTTTGCCATTAATGTTATTCTGTGCATTCTTTTCAGAGCTACCTGTAGTTGAAATTGTACAAGCAGATTTAGCGCAGGTAAATAGGACTGATATATGCAAGGTTTGTGTTTTGACATGTTGCATCTCATGTGTGGCTTATTGGGTTCGGGAACAAAAGTAAAATTGCAAAGTAACATTGAGAGAATGCATAATATGTTGAGATTTCAGGATATCTTAAATTATGAAATCACATAGGTTTGATTTCATAAGTAAGTATTGTATGAAAGTTAATCTTATTAACTAATGAAGAATGTAGTTTTTTATTTGTATAGATTTTAATGTTCATTAAATCATGTAACATACTTCAAATTTTGAATATTGAGTAACTGTAATACATTTTTTGTTGTTTTCATTTCTTTACATATTTTGCGTCTCTTAAATTAACCTTGTTTTTCAAATTCCAAATCTAGGCCATGTTTGTTATTGTCCAATTTCTTGAATTCGTCACGCCAATCATTTCATCGACTAAAACATGTTTTCTTTAATTTGATAAATTAAAATATTACCAACCCAAAAGCAAAAGCTTTGAAAAAAGTTCTAAATGCTTTTGAAAACATGTTTTAGAGAGGCTTGACCAATTAATAATTTCTCGGGCGATTGTTATTAAACGAAAAGTATTTGAGAAGATTCTTATATTTCTTTATTTGTACTTCTAGGTCAGTTAGTGTTTTTAAACTAAATACGTTTATAATATAATTTTCTATTCAAGGATATTATATCATAGGCACGAGGATATAGTTACTCGTACATTGTATTGTTTCTGTTTGACAACCTACCTGTTGATATTTTTATTGAAAACCTACCTGTTGATATTTTTATTTAATTGTCGCGTACGCATTGAATCACTTAGTTTGGAATATAATAGGAATAACAAACTTCTCTAGATCTCCTTCGAAAAGATATATTTATTTAAATTTTTTTAAAGTGCTAATCTCTGCGCTTAAGATTAAACATTAAATTTTGTAGAAAAAAGGAACGAAAAGTTTCTCGCCGCTGTGGGAATCGAACCCATGTCTTCGGGATTCGCGCCCTGACGCTCTAGCCACTAAGCTAAACGGCTGATTTCCACACCGACGAAATTCTCTAATGTCCTTTTTTATCTACATTGTTTTTAGCATTTGGAGCAATGCTTCGCCCATCCATTGTTATATCCTTTCCGGCACACCAACAATTACGAATATCGTTTTACAACGATAATTCGAACGAGAGATGTCGCCATTGCTTTTTTACAAACTTAATTTTTTTTTAAGTGCTAATCTCTGCACTTAGATTAAACATTGAAACACATTCCCACAGCGCTAATGACGCATCCTGGCGCCGCCTTAAGCGCAGTTTATATCCTAGAGCGATGTTGGAGTACGCGGGAAGTGTTTCATGAATGGTTCTTTCCGCAGGGGGCCTTCATGAACGACGGGCAGCGGCCGAACAAGCGGCTCCGGCAAATGTAACCTTATTTAGTTGGCATAAGATGAATTATTAATGTGCGTCGTTGTCCTTATGTTCGTGTGTGTGTGTGCCGAGCGTCCCTACAGAGACTTCTACAGTGACATGTTGCAGTATCAGATAAATCTAGCTAATTGTATTTACTAAGTACACGAAGTAAAATAATTGTAAACTATTGTCTTTTTGACAGGTAATAAAATATTACTAACATTTAATGCTGTTTTATTTTTCGCGTCATTGACTTCATCCCATCGTTCCGATGGCCTGCAATTGAACCTTACAATATTAATTAATATTAGATTATGATTTCTTTACATTTCATTTCTCAAATGATTAATATTGACGACTACAAGAATTGTGTAAATCACACAATACATGTTGGGAAATAAAGAAATAAGTTCCTACAGACGTACACTGTCATCATTCTGGTATTTTTCATTTTAACAATTCAAAAGTGGATACGTCGGTCGACTTAAAGCATGGCTTTGTAAAACTACAATCTGTGCGAAAAGTTTTTCGCCCCTGCGGAATCGAACCTGCGACTTCTGTTATCGTGTCCAGACGCTTTAAAAACAAGTTAGCACCCAAGGAGGCCCATATTTATTGGCCGAAAAGTGCAGGAATCAATTAGTGAAATTAACGAAAGTACAGTAACAATGAATGAATGAATATACTTTATTGCACACCAAAAATAAAACAAACAAAATTAAAACTTAATGTAGAAGTGATGGGTACAATGGGCGGCCTTATTACTAAGAGTAATTTCTTCCAGGCAACCTTTGGATGGATTAAAAAGAAATAATTTAGGAATAAAGGTGTGGGTTAACTAAATGAATGAAAAAGAAAAATAGTTATCTACAATAAGTGACCTTAAAATGTCCCGTTGCTGGGCAAAGGTCTCCTCTGTGCAGAGGTATTAGAACCTAGTATGATTTGGTTTGATTACCTACTCCACGCGGCCCCACTGCGGATTGGCGGACTTCATATTTCTTCTAAATACTTATTTTTGTTATTATTTCGAAAAATAAGCGATTTATGACGTTAAAAATTTCCTGTAAAAATTCATCTAACTTCTTCATTACCAAAACTTCTGGAGCAACGCTTTGCGACTACGGTTGGTGACAAAGAATTTCTAGAGAAAATTTTTCAGGGAAAATTTGTGATCTCTGATTTTTGACAACGAACTTCTCCGTTATCATTCCCAATAACTTACAGTTTCGCCTTTGCACCTTGACTCCTTTGTCAGGTCTGAAGAACCTCTAGTGAACAATGCACACAAAGATGCCCCCATCAGTGTGACTGACGTTTTCTATTGTCACACAGGATCTATTTTTAATTACAAATGTATATTTGATCCAGAATCTCGTTCTTTAAAGATGTAGTAACTATGGTAGGGTCCGTATCGGGAAGTACCACGACCTCATAGACTGGCGTGAAGTGGAAATGTTATACTTCTGCGCTTCGTCTGGTGACTGAGGTAACCGGGGCCCACTTATTTAAAGATGGCAACGGATCTGGAACTCTACGGGTGTTGCAAATGTTCATGGGCATTTGGGTTATCACTTAACATCAGGTGAACCGCCAGCCCGCTTGCCGCCTTCTCACATAAAAAACATATTTGTGTGCCTATTCAAAAAGGTAAGGTAAGCTTTGACGCGATGTTCCTTTTCAATAAGTTTACGTGATACGCGGCCAACGAATATTTTCTGACAGTTAAACTACTATAGAGATTAATTAGCAAATCGTTATAGTAAAAGTTACGTTTCACTTCGTCAGCAACGTTTACTTATTTGAGCTCATCGCGATCGCATTCGAATAAACAGGGCAACGGAGAAGAAACAAATTACTGTTGATTAACGTAACTGTGATTGTCTTTTAGAAATTAAACTGACCGCACGATAGAACGGCCTGTCGATACAAATTAATTTTTTAGGTGGCTTACCATGTCTCGCGTGCGATCTCTATTGAAGTTGATGACCGCCAACAGTACGCACGTGTGGTGACAGTGTTTTAATTGTGAAAAAAAACTCATTAAAGAAAAAAGAACTTGTTTCAGAAATTGAAAATGGTTAAAAGTTTGGTTATTGTAGTGATTTACACTATCTGCCTAATGACGTGTACAGTTTGGGCTTACCGCCAAAACGCAGGTCCTTCGAAAAAGGAATCTCATAATATGAAATCCGGCAAAAGCCCGCGAGTTCGCAGTGAAGTTTTTGAAAATCTATTTATTATCTATGATCCAACGTTTTTATCGATTGTTTGGCCAAAAATAACGAACGGTGTGCATGTAAATATTGACCGAAGTTGTTGGGACGATTTGACTGTTTTTTATAGGGCTCTAACAGAGGGCCGTTCTTGGGCGTACAGTAGTAAGTATTTTTTACATTTAGCAAGAAAAATTCTTTTTCATTATGAGCACTAATCAAATGTGTCATATTTTTTTATGTAAAATTCAAGATACAAGATGTTAAATTCAAGGTACAATATAAGTACCGAAATAAATAAAAATATTGAAGAAATTTTATGATGTAATCTACAATGTGAAATTATTTCATATTTTTTAAGACTGAAGGGAAAGAAAATAACATTTTTAATTGTTCACGGCCACACATTAATAATTTTTCTTACAAATTTCAAAAAGGTATAAAGATTTTTGTTTTATAATAGATAAAGTTGACCATTTAGTCTCAATCCTAATAAAATTTTGTAAGTAAACTAAAAAAGAAATAATCCAAATAGTCTCAAAGTATCTGCATCAAATTTTACTATAACCGGAAAGAAAGCAGAGAATAAAGAGCAATCTGAGTTGAACCTAGTTTTAGTGCACTTACATTCAAGTTGTGATAGCTCAGTGTCCCCTCGCCTTTAATTTAATATACCTACTCGAGCAACCTGAATTCAATCCCGGTGCCGGCACTAATGAAATTGTTAATTTTAAGTGCTTAGTTATCACGTGCTCAGCGGTGAAGGAAAATATCGTGAGGAAACTTGCATATTTTCGAAATAATAATCACGTGGTGATTTATTCCTCTGTACAGAGGAGGCTTTTACCAGCAGTGTACAGCAGCAGCGTTGGAAATGTATAGGCTGTTACTTTACTTACACTACATACAAACTTTGCTCCCCATTATCGGATGAGAAATATCTAGTCATTTGTGGTAATAAGTTAATAACATGGATTATTTTCTTGAGTATTTTCTGTCTATGCTACGTTGTTAGCAAACATACACGCTGAAATGTTAAGTGCGAAGCACATTGGTCGTAAGAAAACTAATATCCTGTGATACAGCTTATAGAGAAGTAGCAGACTCTGTTACAGAGGCCTATGCACAAATAAATGAGGGTCCTAGACTCTTATAGAGGTTTCTCTTTGTCATACATTGAGGTTTTAGAGGCAAAAAATGGCGGGATGAGGCAATTACTCTCACCTAAATAGTTTTCTCGCTTAGCCAGTTCTCACTTATACAGACTTAACATATTTATAATTATTTCATATTTAAATTGCTGCAAGTCTAGGGTAATAACCGCATGCGTGTTACCACATTAAAGCTACTCGGGGGATTATGACTTTAATAGACTTATATTACGCGCTGTCAACGACACACGGCTGTAAAACAATACATCAAAACAATCTTCAACCGTTTACAATAAAGACTAAAATCGCTTTATCAAAAAAAATCGTGTTAAACTCTTATGAATCAGTGAGAGCTCTCGGTTATCTGTGCTCCGTAAAAAATAAATGAAAGCGAAATCGCTTTATTATTCATTGCTTCTCATAAGCGAGGAGAATTGCGTGTTTAGTGCATTCAGATTAGCTGCTAAGTAGATAATATTTAAATTTACGTTCGGAGAACTGAGATGGTTTTACTGACTCGAATACTACACTTTTAAAATTATAAACAAGTTAATTTTTTTAAAGTAGCTCCAAAAGAGATACAGAAGTGTGATTTGAGATATACAGAAACGTGTTTTTTTCGGCACGAATGATATTATTGCACTCCCATATTCACACATTATAGTGCCGGCACTGAATTTGGGCGGTTCCGCAGTTAAAAGACAAGCGCTCGTTTACAAATGTAACATGGCCCCTTAATTACGGTTTTAAGGAAACTAAGAAAAGTATATTTCGTATTTTATCTTCAAATATATGAAATACTAGCTGCTGCCCGCGACTACGTCTGCGTAGAATAGGCTGAAGGCGTAACATTCAGACAGAAAGACAGATAAATTATAGACTATATCTTATTCTGATGTATGAGCTACATTATTGTAAAGTTTCATCAAAATACATTCAGCATTTGCGCGAAAGAGTAACAAATATCCATCCATACATATAAACTTTCGCCTTTATACTATTATATAAATATAGATACAAATAATAAGGATATTAATTAGCGATATAGCCACATTGTGAACTATGCCTTAAGACTTAGCTCTTGTGTTTTGAAGCATGTTATATAATTATGTATAATGAGTTTCAAATAAGAATAGGAACGTCAATGACCTAGAACGATCGCGATTTGTCGACTGTCAATTTAAAAATATGCCTTGCAAAAAAAAAACACTTTTTAAAAACTTTCTTAAACGTCACTCCCTTGACTGACATGATATTGGCCGAATTCTTTTAAGAGAAGAAGCCATTTATTAAAGAAAGAAGAAGAAGAAATTTTTCTTACATTATAGGTATAATAACCATTATTTTACTAACGAAAAACAAAACCGACTTCAAATATCTCGCTCTGTATTCATTTTATAATTGATTTTCGGGAGCTCCATAAGTATCTCCGGAGCCCAAGATCCGATCCGATCCAATGCAATTAATATGCGACCACATGGGAAGTACCAGCTTTCAAATAAAAAAAGAATCATCAAAATCGGTCAGTCGAAAGTTCTGAGGTAACAAACATAAAAATACAGTCGAATTGAGAACCTCCTCGTTTTGAAGTCGTTTAAAAAGTAAACGAAATCTATCGAAGTCATAATTAGTTTTAAAAATAATTTAAAACTCTTATTTTTATACTTTCATCCTTTAGCTCGTCGATAACTTTAGTTATAGCATTCTAAATATTATGTATAATTATAATGAAATGCTTATTTTTATTTTAAATAACAGTTGGTGGAATATTTTAAACCTACATAAAAGTGACGATGACTATTCACACGGAATTGAAGTGCTAGATTCCGATTACACCTTTTTCTTGCATGCAATTTTTATTAGATTTAAATTAATTTTTTTTTTGTAAATATTATTTGATAAAATATTTGTTCTGCTCACTCTCTTCTGGTTTTAAACTGATTTAAATTGACAGCTATGGCGCGAGGTCAGGCCCATTCTTGTTTGTATCGCATTGTATTTAAGATAATACTGTATGTAAACTTAAATAATAACATAATCTCATCCCTTATACTTTACTATACTTATCTTCTGTCATACTTTATGATATTTTAGATACAGTACCTGGAGGTTTTTTTTTTTGGTAAATCGTGTATTTTGGATATTACTGAGTAATGAAATATGCATAATATTTTTCGATCTTACCGACGTAATAATAAGAAAACATGAACTGGTATTTTTCACAAAAGAAAGAATTTTTAAAAAAACGGAAAAAAATTACAAAATCATCTGGATCGACAAAACATAATACACACTTACAGTTATACAGTAAGTTTGCATGAGTACATACGGCCCTACCCACTGAGGAAGGCCTCAAACCCGTAGGTTCCGGCAAGCCCACCAGTTCTGCGTTCGATGAAGCTTTAATAGTCTAAGAATTGAAAGCGTAACATCAGTTATACAAAATACAATAAGTTTTCGTGATAGATCGGTAAGGAATATTTTATTTTTAGCGAATCTAAGATTTCAATGGGGTATATAATCTTTTCTTTAACGTGACTCGGATGTTAAGGGATAGACCTAGACGAAGAGTAATTATAGTATATTTTGTTTTTCACGTACCTGCCATTAAGTGCATTATATTTTTTTAAATCCACTGATAACTGCTATACGTTGGACCAACACATCACCATATGACCATCACACTATGTCAGTTATTTGTGGACTATTATAGTAATTTTATTTTTATTTCAGCCGTGGACGCCTCAGGCCGTTATCAGCCTGGCTTTTTCCAAGGAAACAAGCTATGGCTCGGTTCCAAAGATCTTTGTTTTCGGCTGGTGCGTGAATAAATATTTCCCTTTGTTTTCTCTTCAAATCCTAATTTAATTTGTGTTGTTCAATACACGGTTTTTATTTTATGTAAGGAGGTGGCAAACGAGCTGGCCTATGGAAATTTGCACCTCTTAGTAATATGGGCCCCGGGCCTCTCACTCACCAGACGAAGCGCAGAAGTTCAACACTTCTTCTTTACGCCGGTCTTCTGTGAGGTCGTGTTACTTACCCGGACGGACCTGCCCATTCGTGCAACACTGTTGCGGAGCCCTATCACCGTTAAAAAACGTCCGACGCTTTATTTACCCAAACCTTTTCTTCTTTGTTAACTTAGCTAAAAATGCTATTTTGATTTTTAGTTTTGCTACCATGATATGAAATATATATTAAAATACGTTACCTAAGCGATAATTATTTTAAAATATGTAATATGAGATCTTTGAGTGATCCACATTCTCTTTTTATCGAAAAGAAGAGGATTGATTTGTAGGAAGAGGAACGTTTTGCAACGGTTAAATAGGCTGAATGACAAAGACAACTCTTTTTGCAGGACAATGAATATAAGGCGAAAGGCCCACAATACAACGCAGATGCATTTATACGATCGGAAAAGGATTTCGATGAGCGTCAGTATCATTTCGTTTTTCTATAACTTCGTATTTTTGAATGTTTCGGCATGTTCCTTTATGTGTCTATTAATATAATTACCCCAATGGTGAAGCGAAATTGCTCCTGACTGGTGAATTACTCAAAGAAATCTTTAAATACCATCCAAAAAGTTTACAAAACTACTTATTTTTTCTTCAACGTGTGAAACTTGAGCTCTACTATGCTAAATACATCCAAAATCATATACAAAAATATCACTATCAGCCGGATAAAAACGACTGTTGATCAAATACCTCCGCTTTAGAACGCCACAATGAACGACACTTTACCAATTACATCCTTCGGTTGTCCGTGACTACCGAAGGATGCAATTCTATTCCGTGGTTGACATAACGGGAGGCCTTCCAACGTTATGTCTTCTGATTCGTGATTACCCTTCGAGAACTTCTTTTGCCCTTTGGCTGTCACTTCTTCGAGTGATGTGGCCTGCCCTTTGCTTAGTGAATCTCGTTCTTCTTTGTCCATACCACAGCGATTTTACTATATACAGTTTGTTGTTAAGGCGGACAGATTTAACTTAAAAACACATACTTTTTGATACAAACTAGTCGGTTTTAGATCGCAGAGCTCAACTTTGATGATTGTTGATTGATATACATGCAATAGAGTTTACCATCTTCACCTACACTTTTTGTTGATTTGAACGATTTTGAGTACGATGCAAGTTTATAAAACGAGTGAGTCGAAATCTTCGTAATTTCAGCAGCTACACCAGAATGGCCTGTTTTAAGTAAGAAGGAACCATCGCAAAGCACGCAAGCTGACGTTGACATGCCGCAGCACCGCCTCGAATACGTTGCTGTGCAAATTCTGTTGAACATAACAAAGTTCAAAGTACCGAAGGTATGACCAAAATGGTAGCTCAATTTTCACTTACTAGTGTTTTACAATATACCCTAAAAACTTTTTGAAAGAAGGTTTCTCATTTCTGTCTAGCACTCCAATCCAATTCCAATTTTAATATAATGGCTCCATCAAGGAATAACTTGATGATTCTGCCAATGTCAAGGTTGAATAAAAAAGATAGTAGAAGTGCGATTAGCCAGTAATAACAGCTTTTGTACGGTAGGTAGACTAGTACACGGATCCAGTTGAGTTACCTGAACAGCTAGCACTCAAATTGTTATTTAGTTATTGATTGACGGAGTTGAATGCTTTTTTATTTAGGTGACTATCAATTAGCTTAGCTTATTGCGACGACGTAGCGTAGTGGGTTGTGAACCTGCTTCTAGCGCTAAAAAATGCGGGTTCGATCCCCACTACCGGAAAAATACTGTGTGATTAACATAGTGTTTTACCAGTATCTGGGTGTTTATATACTTACTTATTTACAAAAGAAAAATATATATTATTATTAGTTATCTAATATGGGTAGTACTAGCGTTGTTTAGTTTGGGCCTACACAACGATGCGTAAAAATGTGTCCTAAAATATTTATTTACTTTATAATAAAATTAATCCTTAACTTACAGACGTACGGTATAACACTCGGTTTATGCCTCCCACGTTCGTGTGCGCCGGAAGACGTTCTGTCACTCATAAACTTCTCAGTGATGTTAAACGACAATTTGAAGTCGAACGGCACCACACCTAGGTCAGTAAAAGTGACATCGCTGCGACTGGTAGAAGAGTATTACGACATGCGATACGACCCAGGCGCAGTCTTAGTATTCCTAGCTACAATGTTGTTAGCGACGTTGGCTATGTTAGCCACGATAGTCGACGTCGGTCTGATCAATTGTTTGAAAAGGCGAAGCGGTTCGCTGTCCGTTAACGTCCAGAAGTTCAACGAAGCAGGCAGCATTAGATATGGAGAAGAGTGCGGAAAGTTGAACCGCGAAGTGGTCAAAGTTTTTGTCGATTTAAAAAAGGAGAGAACAGTCGATAATGAAACTCTCCCATCTAAGAAGGAAGGGGCCAGGATGTTGAAAGTGGAAGCAATGAAGCAGGCAAAACAAAATGAAACAACTCCAACGATCACGCTAGGCGTAATGACTTCGGAGCGAAAGATCGCTAGCTGCAACCGTTGCGGCAAATACAGGAAGCAGTGCGACCCAAAAGTGGCGGACAACTTGCCCGAACGCCCCCCAATCCAGTACAAAACCTGCGCCACTCTGACGAATACGGAATACAGGAAGAGGGATAGTATATACCTGAACTTGCTGCTCAGTTTCTCCCTCAAGCACAACTGGAAGAGAATTTTCAACACGAAGATGGCCAATAAAGATTTGGCTGTGGTGCATCTGTTGAGGATATTTGCCACTTTTTGGGTGATATTCGTTCACGTGACCGTGCTCGTAGATTATCTGTCTGGTGAGTTGTATTATTTTTATTATCTTTTTATCATTTGGATTTTACTGCAATCTTTTGTTACAGGAGATAATGGCAAGAATAACGGAACGAATAGCAGGTATCACGTTTTGAATATGGGCACTCTAGCTTTTGATACACTGTTTTTTTCAAGGTAAGATAAGCTTTTAACAATTGAATAACATTTAATAGAATCCTGGAAAATGTTTGAATTTATGAGTGTAGTCGCATTCATCGAGAAAAGTTTTTTTTGAGAGGGTGATTACCGCCGCAAATAGTTCCAATTTGGTTTGGTTAATAATTTGGTTACTAACCATTATAAGTTAACCTTCATAAAACAATAATGGAGGCGGCAGTTGTAGACCTAGTGCTTACACCAAGCTTGTTAGTTTCATTTACTTCAAAAGTGAGTAGAGTTACATTTATATAGCAGCCCCCTTTCATTTTTTCAAATTGCTACATTACATTTTACCTCACTCATCGGACGAAACGCGAAAGTATATACTTCCACTTCACGCCGATCTTCATGAGTTACTTCCCCAGATGAACGTGCCTATTCGTGCAACAGCAGAACCCGTGTAACCCTTACAATCAAAGTGAATTAAAGAATGTATATTAATGGTTACAATTTTAAATTATATTATAAAATGTGATAATTTTCCGTAAGATTTTTTTTATTAAAAATATACGAATTCATAATTAATTCTGCATATGTTCAACAGCGGTATGTTTAGTGCTCACCACTTTTTTTATCTGTCAACCCGATATACTTTGCGTCAGCTGGTCAGCTGTGGAGGTCGTGGCGGGAAAATTTTGCAATTTGTTTGTTTCGTCACCAATAGAGTCATCAGGTAAGACATTTTTTGTCATTCATGCTTTTATTCGGAATTTAAGTATTACCGATGATTTTTTTATTTAATGGGCTAAATTATACCTTAAAATTGCTAATAATAATTTCATTGGTACCAGCATCGGGATTTGAATTAAGGTTACTTGAGTGTAATAAATTAAAATAATATCACGGTAAATAAGTAAAATTATAATTCACCAGATTGCTGCCTCCGTACATGTACATGGTCTTCGTAACAGCGGCGTTGTCCAGGGTGTGGCGCGACACAGCGGCTACAGCCTTCCCAGAAAAGGACTACGATAATTGTGATGCGTACTGGTGGAGAAATTTGTTTTACATAAGTTTATTCTATCCTCGAGACGAACAGGTGTGACATAAACAAGTTTTATTTATGCAATGATTATAATACTTTTTCCTTACTTAAGGTAGAAGTAAATTAATTGAATTACGGACAATAATTTTAATTTTGATACTCTTTGTTTATTTGCGAAAAAGTTGTGCATCTCTCTGGGGTGTTTGTTAGTCCAAAAAGCATATTTTATTTCTAAATCTCTATATGATACCACTAGTTTTCTTTGGCTGCCGTAACGTGTGTTTGGCATAAAACTTTTTTAACATCATTATATAACCAGGCTACTGGCTTCACTCTCTATATTACAGTGTTCGTTGCATTGCTGCCTATGAATCTGTTAAGTTATGACTTGGAAGTTTTTTAAAATACCCTTCTAAAGGCGTCCTTCAACATAAAAAGCCATCTCAAATTGTTCAGTGCATGCAAATCTCGTGGTACCTGTCCACGGAGACGGCGTTGCACGTGTGCGGTGCGCTGATATGCGTGGTGCTGACCCTGCGCCGCCGCGTGGCCCTCCTGGCGTTGAATGCCACGCTCCTGGCCGCAGTTGCCACAGACGTTCTGAAGGCCTTCACCGATTACCACAACCGGTGGGATATCAAATGTTGTTCGTCTTGGTCGAAGTTAAAATGTTTCTGATCAATTTTCGACTCACCTCAAATCACTTATCTGCGTCGCCTATTCGCCAAATTTATACTTTCATTTTCCATTTGGAAGCGTAAAAGCGTACAGTTATTTCGTACTTCTACAATTGCCTGTAATAGGTAAAATTTAGTCAAATCTCCAAAACACTTCTTTTTTAAATATTTTGTACATAATTATGTTAAAAATGGAAGTCTGTTAGTATGGTCTTGATTCCATGATAGTTAATAAACGAACGATATTTGACCTTACGAACACAAAACAATTCTTTTTTAAATATTTTGTACATAATTATGTTAAAAATGGAAGTCTGTTAGTATGCTCTTGGTTCCATAACAGTTAATAAACGAACGATATTTGACCTTACGAACACAAAACAATTCTTTTTTAAATATTTTGTACATAATTATGTTAAAAATGGAAGTCTGTTAGTATGCTCTTGGTTCCGTGATAATTAATAAACAAACGATATTTGAAATATTTTTTAAGTAATGACTTATATTAGATAACCCTTGTAGGTTTAATGGTGTCTTCGGGGCTTACGCGTCTTTGATGAATCGTCCTGTGGCGCGAGTGGCGCCATACTTTATGGGAATTTTGGCCGGCTGGCTTGTGCACGTGGTCGATGGGAGGACGCGCGTGTGCCGGGTGAGGATACATTACGATAAAATGTGCGCGGAGGACTGAGAATTAGCGACAGGACTTAACTCATTGGGCACTAACGGTCGGTTTCAATATTCTATCTGCAGATAGATTTAGTTACTACCGATAGGTATAAGACATTAGCTCCATATTACTTACGTCAAAATTCTATATCTAGTAACCAATTTATCTGTAGATACAAGTTACTTGTACTAGTAAAGTTCCGAATCCGGTCTTTGGCTTTGTGCACGGCTCAGCAATCCTTGACGGGGTAGAGTGACATTTCAATATTGGTTTTAATATTTAACGGTGGTAGAGCCATGCAGCAGCCTCGGCTGTTGCACGAATGGGCAGGCTCGTCCGGGTAAGTACTACGACCTCACAGAAGACCGGCGTAAAGTGGAAGTATGAGAAATACTTTCGCGTTTCGTCTGGTGAGTGAGGTAGCTGGAGCCCAATTCTCAAAAGGTTGTCAACGCATCTGTAACCCTCGGGTGTAGCAGATGTCCATGGGCGGCGGTATTCACTTAACATCAGGTGAACCGTCTGCTCGTTTGGCAACTTTTCACATAAAAAAATAAGCTACTGTAGTTCACAGCCCATATATCTTTATTATAGTATTCATAGTGAAGTAACTGTCTAAATATGTGCCACTGAGCAAAGGCCTCGTATGTACTGGGCATAGTTCACCACGCTACCCTACCATGGATTGGTAGACTTCATAAATCTTTGAAATATTTAATATTATTATTATTTCGAAAATATCAGGTTTCTTTACGATTTTTCCTTTGGCGATGGGAACGAGATAAACCGGTACTTAAAATTGCAAAGAATTTGTAGTTCGACTATATTGAATTAAAAGCATGCATTTTTAAAAAAAAAAACTGATTTGTTATGGCTCTATTCATACAATCAAGATTAACACAAACGTAAGTTTAATAAATTAACTGTCAAAGAAACTTTCCAATATACTCTCGTTCAAATATTCATTCCAAAATGTTATTTGAAAATTTCGTAACCGTTTAAAACCTTAACGTTGCTCATTAGATGGCAAATAATTGTTAAAATGCATGAAAGGCAAATAAATGATGAGATTTTCGCACCATGAGGTAGTCGGCCGCTTAACTTAAGTGGTTAGAGCGTCTGGGCGACCCGGAAGGCGCTGGTTCAAATCCCGCAACACGTAAATTTTTCGACAATTTGGCCTAATATAAAGTACCTTTTGCTTTGTTGCCCACAAATATTGGCAGGTGACTTCATGCTGCCTCTGGCTGGCGTCTGTGGGGGCGTTGGTGACGTCATTAGTGACGTCATCGCTGTACTCGCACTGGGGCAGCGCGTGGCTGCACCTGTGCTGGCCCGCGGCGCTGCTCTGGCCCGCGATCGCCTGCGCAACGGATCACGCGGGCGAGTTCCCTTGATATGGAAACGATTTTGGCACTCTTTCGTCTTTGTTATTGTATATGTATAATATGTATTTATTTACAAAAGAAAAGTATATTTATCAGTTTTCTAGTACACATAGTACAAGCGTTGCTTAGTTTGGGACTAGAAAATGTTGTGTAAAGTGTGTCCTAAAAAAAATATGGAAAAAGGAGGCAAACGGGCAAGCGGGTCACCTGATGGTAAGCGTTCACCGCCGCCCATGGACATTTGCAACATCGCTCATGAGGCCGAGTCTATGTGTCTTGGCTAAGCTATGTAATTATTATTTAACTAGCTTCTGCCCGCGACTACGTCTGCGCAGAATAGGCTGAAAGCGTAACATTCAGACAGAAAGACAGATATACATAAAATATTTATATAAATTAAAGCCTATGTCTTATTCTGATGTATAAGCTATATTATTGTAAAGTTTCGTTAAAATCCATACATACAAACTTACGCGTTTATAATATTAGTAAGGGTAGTAAGGAAGTAAGGATTTTCTACGTTATAATGACACGATAGGATACAATAATATATACCTCGAAATTTTCTGCCATCATCGAAGACATTATTAATTCTCTCACTCTTCTTTCATGTTTAAATCTAGACAGGTACAATTGTAGTAGTAAACGAAACAAAAACAATGTTATTCAAAAACAGTATGTCTAAACAGAAAAATATCGATTAGTAGGGTGTACACTCACTCAAGAAACTCATTCTTACGTAGGTGGGACACGCGACTTGATGGGGGGTGGGGTGTTGGCGGCTCTGAGCAGGCTGAGCTACTGTTCCCTGCTGGTGCACGGCTTGGCCGCCAGGTGGCTGCTGCTGGGGCAGGGGGCGGCCGTTTGCTCGGACCCCACCTGCCTGGTGAGTGCGCTTTGATCGCGTCGACGCGCCTTTATAGACTGGGCTCGTGAGGTGATTATGCACTAAAATAACTTACCGATCTGACTAAGTGATTGATGATAACATAACTAACTTAAGTTCACTTAAAGCTTAAGTGAACTTAAGTTAGTTATGTTGTTTTCTACATATTTTAATAGTTATGTTATCATCAATTATTTAAGTCTTTAACGATATCTAAAGTGGTCTTTGAGAAGGTTGAAAAGGCAAAGTTTGTTTTCTTGTTTTAGGGCGTGTTTGTATTGGACGCAGGGTACGCAAAGCTTACTTTTTGCATGTATGGAGTGTAATACTTAAGTTGAAACGTTAATTTTTTTTCTTATAGATATTTAAATAAACATATTGATATAATATTTATTTAGAAAAAATGTATCTGGGAAAAACAGTTTGTTACAATGTTCTATGGTCGTTTATAGAACTAGTTTTTGCTTCTCGGGCGTTCACCGACCCTAAATGTGCTTTTACAGTGGACGTATACAGCGGGAACAGTGCTGCTAAGCGAGCTTGGTGCTCTTCTGTTGGCGCTGATGCTGGAGATGCCGTGCTGCTGCCTCCTAAGACGGATCACTGACGTCTTAACGGCATAATAAACTATACCTCACTGACTTTGTGCTTTCATTTCAAGATTTGGTACATTACAACCCGATTGCTATATACTTTTATGGTGGACCTGTCTCATTGCTTGTAAAGTAACAGCCTTTATATATATATATATATATATATATAGCCTTTACATATCCCACTGCTGGGCAAAGGCCTCCTCTGTACAGAGTGTATTAGATAGTCCGACACGCGGCCCCGCTGCGGATTGGCAGACTACATAATGTCTTCGAAATATTTTTCTTGCTATTATTTCGAAAATATGCATTCACCGCTGAGGACGTGATAAGTCAGCACGTAAAATTAACAATTTCATAGTTGCCGACACCGGGGATCGAACTCCGGTTGCTCGAGTATATTGAATTGAAGGCGAGCGCCCATACACTGAGCTATCACGTTTCGTGCTTGTATTTATTGTACTTGTTTAGGATGGAGTTGCCAATAACTCAAAATTGAATTTAATCTTGAATTTCATCTGTATCGAGGTCCGAGACAATATAATATTATTGTTTTGGACTAAATAGGTAATGATAATAAAATGAAATAGGTCATAAACAGTTTTATTAAAAATATTCTTGTACAAAAATTACAAATAGTTAATATTTACAGCTTATTTACATAGCGCTAAGTTTACAAGTAAATACAGAATTTATTTACATTTTAACACTTCCAATCGAATTATTCACAAAATCCAATTCATACGACACATATTTATCTTGCTGACAAATTCTCGATAATCAGTGATGATAATAGTGAAAGTAAAAATATTCTCAGGTGTAAAGAAGATAAAACAAAAACATACAGCAAATTATCAAAGATCAAAAATATTAAACAGTATTTATCAAATTAAATTGAGTCGAATAATATATAATATTCAAATATATTATTTGTGTTTGTACTAATCAATGATATTATTACTGAATAGTAATCCATAGTGTAAATATCATTGGCACTAATGTGTAGTGTCATGGTTTAATTTATTTTAAGCAGTGAAGGTATTTGTTGAGATATCACTGACAATTAAATTTGCGTCATAGGAATTAAATATTTCGCTTTCTTTGGGAAACATCAAAATCGATGAGATGATTAAATCTTAAATTCAATTGAACTAAAACATTTTAATTGAACTCTTTTGCATCCAAAGTCATGGTCGCAATATATATTTCTTAAACAAACAACGAAAAGTTTTTTAAACTCTCAATAAATATAGGTACATTGTACAATGATTGCTTTAATAATAAGTATACATTAAGTTTTCTTTCCCGATATAATACACCTTTTATAATATAAATAGAAATCATTAAATTTGCCACTATTTTAACCATTTCATTGATTAATACATATCAAATAATTAGCCCTTGCGAAATTTATCATACATTTTTAACGAAAGTTTTTTTATGAAAACATTAACCTACTCGCCTATTTTTCATCAACAGAGGCGAACGTAAGTTTTAAAATGACGAATAAAATCATTAAATTTAATGAAGAATTATGGAAGTTATGGCGTACCGATAAAACACCTTTGGAAAATAACATCAACCTGATTTCAAATCCTGTTGCTGGCATCAATGAAATGGTTAATTGAAAAATTAAGTTCAACAGAAACACGATATTTAATTACTTAGGTTTTTTTAATGTTATTACTTAGTTTACGGTAAAGCGATATGTTTGTATGTACTTTTAAAATAACATATTTTAGCTTAACAAAATACAACGTTTGTCTTGTTTTATCTTGTTTAAAAATTCATTGGACAAGAAAAAATTGTTTTTTAACATGTTGCGTATAATTTATTGTTTGCTTGGGAAAATATTTATTGTCTACCCTTTGTTTTAAGTATAACCAAGTCTTATATACTATCAAATTGTAATCTAAGATACATTTGTAAAAGTAATACATTTGTACAGTCTCTTAAAACTATGTTGTAAACTTCGAAATTATGTACCTAATGGTGTTATCACGGTCGTTACTCATATGTTTTGTTGAGTTCTTATCAAAGAAGACGTATTCATAGTCGAGAGAGCATTTAATTGTCGTGCAATGCCTTTCCCTCTGAAAATTAAAAACTTATCAATAATATTTTTGGGTACGATAATCCATTTGTAAATTTATTCCAAATGTAATGGAACAGGCACAACACGTGGTTGAACTTTTTTAATATTTCAATATCGATATAGAATTTATCGATTAACATCGAAGTAAAAACTATAACATCAAAAAGTATAGTAACATAAAATATGAAAAGATAACTCTTTTTATATTTTATGTTACTATACTTTTCGATATATATATCTTGATCAAATAATAATTTTAATTCTAAAGGGTAAAAAACTTATGTAGTTTTACGTAAAGTGTGCCTGAACAAATTTTATACTTAATGTTTGGAGTTTTCGTAGACTAATGTAAATATGAATAATAGACGAAAACGGTCGAACGGTAGACCCTCTAGTTGATACGGAATACTAATAATAACTATTAACTTTAGCTTTAGCACCTCTTCACGAGGCCTAGCGATTACGTTTCATACAGTGCCATCTGTTGGCAGACTCTTAGTTACGCGCTGGTCACACCCTGTGGGGCTTCTTTTGCGGCGCTAAGATCTTCAGCATCGTGACCATTGGCGCCTCGAAGGCCACGGAGATCAGGAAAGCGAAGAAGTAAGACATCGCAGTCAGACCCAGGAACAGTACGAACTGTCGGGAGGAAAAAGAGTGAAACATTTGTTATATTATCCTATACAATGTTATTAACATTACAAGTTTACAAACTGAATATGAATATATTATATAACAATTTAGAAAGTCGTGAGCATTTAGTAAGAGTTGTAGCTACTATATTTGAAGTTTTGCACTTAACTTTTGTGTTAATTAATTAACAGTAAAAAAGTTATTTTGTTGGTTCATTTACTTAATAAAATGCAAGACGCGATACATAATAGTTAATTGATTTTTGTTAGGGTTTATTTGAACTCCATAGGTTTATAAGGTTTAAAATTCTGTCATTTGAGCAGTCGAGGTGTAACAGCTTATGGAGTATATTATAAAGTCCTATGCATCGATAAATCAAAATCAGGGTAGGTCTGGGTGATACTTGTTGTCATAAGTGTATGCAATTGTTCCTTTGTTCATAATTTGTGATGGAGATAAACCGAAAACAGAGTAGGTCTGGGTGAGAATTGTTGTCAAGGCTTTATTATATGGTTCCTTGTGGTGGTTGTGCATTAATCAAGAAATATATCGAGTAAATAATGTAATAACAAGAAATATATGTGGTCAGCTGGAGTTATCAGCCGCTGTGGGTTAGAAATGGTTGTATCGTCGATGACCTACCACCAACAGCTCCCCCAAGTGTATGGGGTGGGTGAGGTGCATCGCCACGTAGCGCAGCACGACGGGATGCACCAGATACGCGCAGTACGTCACCCGAGAGAACGGGTAAAGGATCGGCGCCGACAGCAGATGGCGGACCCAGCCTGTGACATCATCAAATGCATTGTTATTCCGTAAAATGTAAAGTAACAGTCAACAGTTGTCCCACCGCTGGGCAAAGACCTATTTGTAAAAAGGTATTAGGGCATAGTCCACCACGCGACTCCACCGCGGATTGGCGGACTGGAAATTTCTTCGAAATATTTTTTTGGTATTGTTTTCGAAAATATGCGGATTTCCTCGTGTCGTTTTCCATCACCGCACGAGATAAGTCAGCGCTTAAATTTAACAATTTCACTGGGGATTGAAGGAGTGAATTGCTCGAGTATATCGAACTAAAAGTGCCCTGCCACCTTGGACAATGTGCCACTATCGTGGCTCATTGTCTGGGCTGTTTACCAAATGATAAATAAAAACAATATCCACAGTAGTTTATTTTTATTTGAAAAGCAGGTAGGCGGTTCACCTGATGTTAAGATTACCGCCGACATACATATCTACCATCACCCCCGTGTACAACTACCAGGCGGGTTGCAAATGCGTTGCCAACATTAAAAAACGCGGCCCCGGTTAACTCACTCACCGGACGAAACTCAAAGTATGTACACTATATACAAATGTATACACACTCGCACTTGTCGTCTTTCTGTGTGGTTTAGGGACCGGTACTTTCCCGGACTCGCCTGCCCATTCGTGCAACAGAAGCTGCTGACGCTACCACTGAAAAGCGGCCGTGGCCTGTTGAACGAAACAATCTGACGATGCTCACCGCTGAAAAGCGGCCGTGGCCTCGAACCGTGGACCTAATAGATTAACTTTCAAATCGCGCAACGCTCACCGCCGTGTCCCGTTGAGCACGCCACTATGACCCAGCCGACGCAGGCCGCCCACAGCGAGTGCGAGAGGGCGCTGTACACGGCCGCCGCGCCCACGCTCAGCTGAGTGCGGTACAGCCCGAAGATGAGGAACAGCAGCGTCGCCGTGCACACCGCCCACCCCACCGACGCCCAGATCTGCCACCGCAAGGAACACGACGTTACACAACGTTACGCAACGTTACACAAAGTTACACAACGTTACGCAACGTTACACAAATGCCCGGTTCCTATATTCAACGGACGGCCGTTAGGTACATAGCTTCGTAACTTTCATAACTACTTTTAGATTAAAGGAACGCTAGTAACTCACTTTCCGTAGGTAATGCAACGGCTCGTAAGGAAAACGTTTTCTTTTTGTTAATATAGGAACCGGGCGTACACGCCTTTTATCTACAAGTCGTAACAAAAGTTACGAAGCTATATAACTAACGGCCGTTCGTTGAATATAGGAACCGGGCAAAAGTCGAGTGGCAGCCTCGTACTGGCCATCGCAGTGTAGGACGACCCCCCACTAGATGGAGTGACGACCGGTGCAAAGGTCGATGGGGGCAGTATATGGGGGAGGCCTATGTTCAGCGGTGGACTCAAACAGGCTGAAATGATGATGATGATGACACAAAGTTGTTAAACTAAAAAAAAGAAAGCAATTAACATAAATAATGTTTTAACTTTAGTTTATATATAGCCAAAGTTTCAAAAATAATGCACAACAAATTTTCTGTAGTTTAAGTATCTACCTTATGTATCACAATATGAGCGATCCTTAATTTAATTTTTGTAACTATTTATTTTAAGTCATATTTTTTATTTCTTATTTTAATATTCTTTTATTTCTTATTTTAATTTGTGTTATTGTTATAATGTTTAACTGTACTTGCTGTCCTTATCTCTAAGTAATTGTTACACATGTTATGGTTTTTTTTTACTGTTAAGATGCAGTTTAAACAATTGTTGATAGGTATTTAAAAAACATCCTATTTATATATCCCAGTAATGGGCAATGACGTCTTCGTATTGGATGTCGTAAAGGCGATTACTATATTGCCACTAGAGCGAGTCGGAGCAGGGAATATTTTGTAATATCTATTTCAAATCTGGACTGAGCTCAGTCCAGTTCTTAAAAAGCCACTGAAGTGTGCGATTTTGAGAATACGACGTAGGTTACTATTATTACAAGAAGTGTACGATTTCGTGAATTGTGACGAAAATCTACACTATGGAGACCCAAGTCGTATTCACACACTACACCCACAGACACTCACTCAACAAGCGGTGGTAGAGGTCGGAGATCCAAAAATACGACCAACTGAGTAATGCGCACCTAATGTTCTTTAAGCTTAGGTTTCGATATTCTTCTACAGATAGATTTGGTTACTGTAGATATGATGTTTTAACGAAAGCATTGTGGAGCGGAGGAGGATTTACCTATCGCTAGTAACCAAATCTATCTGTAGATTAGAATATTGAGACCGGCCTTAATAGAACACCATGTAACCAACATAATTACGGCAATAGGGCGTAGGCCACTGTTACTGCCCACCGTCCTCACCCTGTTCATCCTGATCTTCAGGTTGGTCTTGAACAGGATCCAGCCGGTGGCCATGCCGACGAGGTAGGGCCCGAGGCGCGTCCACGGCTTGTCGTAGATCTTGTCGAACTGCGTGAAGGGGTCCTCGCCGCTGGGCACGTGCTCGCTGCTCCACGACACGTAGCCCGTGGTGGCCAGCGAGGACAGGAACAGCGCGCCCGTCAGCGCCACGGACGCCTTGAAGTGGCTGAGGGGAAGACGTGACGAGGTCTAAGTAAACTTGATCTTTGTAGAGGCTGTGGGAAGCGTAACGGAGTTCTTGGCATCTAAATTTTGAATCTGTGCGGTTTAGGTGTGGCTTTCTTAATAATAATAATGTTTTCATTAATTAATTCAGTGGTTTCACAAAAATTGGGAAAGAATAATTGGTGATACAATGCAAATGCTGTATTTTGTTGAACGGCAAGTTCCGGCCTCCTAGCTAGGTGACCTGATGTGTATAAGAGGCATGAGTAATAGCAATGGCTTAAATTTTTTTTAACCCAGTTTGTGCTGGTTTTGTGCAAGTTTGCTTTCAATAAAATCAACATTGTATCATTGCCAATAGAGAAAAAAATTATCAATTGTATGTAATGAAGGTTTGACTGGTAAATTGATTGCTAGATAAATAGGCTGCTTGATAAATTTGATCATGTAGTCGTAGAAAGAAGTCGCACGCACTGGCTCTATAGAAGCTTTTGAAATGTGAATGTCTTCGACATTCGTATTTTAATCGGCTGAAAAAGACGTAGTACGGAGTCTCTTAGTACCTATTCTCATCAGAGTAACTTCGTCTTAATCGTAGCAGAGTTGACAGAAGATTAAGAGACAATCTTAATGTTAAGTTTGCACTGTGGGTTTTAACTTGTGACGTTATCAAATAAAAAATTACCTGGTTGCCAAAATAAGGAGGATCGCGCTCACTGCGTAGAACTGCGTGTCATCGGAAAGGTACCAACTCCAAAGCATGCACTGGAACAAAATAGTACGTTGATATTTAAACTGCTTAAAATAAGAGAGAAAATTTCGTTATCGAGTTCCAACTAAGAATGGCTTAACTATACATTTCTATATATAAAAACACAGAAAACAAAACAAAAAAAGCGCAATATCATCAAACAATATTTCTACAGTTGTTGGGATTGAGTCCATATCATCTGATGTAAGAAACAAAAAAGAAATAGTGCTGTAATAATAATATTCTTTAAAAGGCAAACAAGGCCAATTTTCAAAAGGTTGTCAACGCGTCTGGAACCCTCGGTGTGGCAGATGTCCATAAGCGGCGGTATTCACTTAACATCAGGTGAACCGTCTGCTCGCTTGGCAACTTTGCACATAAAAAAAGGCTTATTATCTACACAGCCAATCGGGTCGATATAAAGCACGAGATAACTATCTTCCTAAGCTACGAATTAACTCACTAACGTAAAATCTCCACACATCGTACCCTAGTCACACGCAATAGTCACATTTCCTTACCATTTGCTCAACGGGGAATAGCGTGTTGATGTAGAGCAGGTTCCGCCACCAGTAGTGCGGGCAGGTCTCGTGGTCGGGGGCGGGCGGCTCGAAGACCGCGTTGTGCGCGAACCACTTCATCGTCACCTCCACCACGCCCAGCATGAAGAGGTACGGGGCCGTCAATCTGCCGCGGACAACGCGATATGTTAGACACGCAGCCGCACATGTAGTTTGTCGTTGAATAAGAACATGAAACAAGCCTATATTGACTAAAGGAGTTTTCACTTATGGATGTAATAATATTATTTTAATTTTATCATACATTTTAATTAAATGATATGTTAAATTAATTATTTTCACACAATAATAAACCAGCTACGTAAATATTGTGAAGAAATATATATGTACATACAAGATTTTTGTATAGGTCCTTCTAAAGAAAGCTTTATCAAAAATATTGATTTCACAAACATTTGCGCATGCTATGTTGTTAAATTTAATAAGGCTAATCATAGGCACTATTAAAATTATTATTTATGGAATCAATAAAAAAATCATAACGATTTCATACTGGATTAAATCAAAGTATCGAAATTTTTCCTATATATAGTAAACGGACACTATATATAAACCTTGAAGGACACCTGTTAGTTAATAATATGCTAATAAAGGTACCTTGCAAATCTATAGCCGATGAGGCCGAGAAACTGCAGAACTCCCGAGGTCAGGGTTCTTCGACCCTTGGTCAGCAGGTCCAGCTTGCCCTTTGCGTTCGTGCGGAAGTACAGGAATGATACAAGCATGCCACTGAAAAATATGAGGACCGTTATTTAATTAAATTAGTAACGTTAAATGCGTCCTTTAATGGAATGAGCATTCGACGTTAATTTGTAGAATGTAAAGATGGTTTGACTGTATATGCTAAGAGTGGCATGACGAACCGTAAAGATTCCAATATTTTTGTAATTCTGAATCTAGGTAATTGGACTTACGTTGGCTAGAACGCAATTTTAATGAAAATGTATACTAAGAATACGTAATTATATTATTTTTCATAAATAACATACCACGAAATAATCTATCTGCCTATTCGGATAATTAGCTAGGTGTTATGCTTTAATAAGAAAAGTTGATGTATTCAAAACTATTCCAATTAATGTATCATTTCAAAGTTCCCTTGGCTCACCCAAGACAGAAGAAAGTGTCAACGCTGTACACCGCGCTTATGATCAGCTGGAACCAGAAGCTCTTTTCGAGCACAGCTCGAAGTGCTGTATTGTCGGCATACTGAAATTAAATAGTTATATTAATAAGGATAAATACAAGAAAATTTATTGAATACATTAGGAAGAGAAAAAGAATAAGTAATAACATGATTGGAACTAATAACTCTTAAAGTATCATAAGATATTATTTTGTTATAAATGAAGTTATAAGATCGGGTTACGTTAGTAGCTCCTCTCAATCGCATATCGAACATTACCAACATCATACAGGCACTGAGATATACGAGCTCAAAAGTGAAGTAGTAACTGCTTTGTGTTCAATCAGAACCGTACCTTGAACACAACGATGCAAGTGTGGCCGAATATCACCCAGACCATGGAGAGGGAGCGCAGCCCGTGCACCACGGGCACCGTGTCAGCCCCGACCGACTGGTCCAGGATCTGCAGTACGTTCGCCTTCATTGAGAACGACAGGAGTAGCTCCGACCAGACGCCTTGGGGAAAAACATACCGTTCAGACACGCGAGATGAGGAACCCTCGTCGATATACTTCCCTATTGCAAATGTTACGAATTTTCGCTACAAAGTTTTTAAGAATTTTTTGTAGAACTTTTTTTTATTTTTGGTTCTACAGAAATGGTTTGCATCTCTTACTATGGCATTTAAAAGAAATTCAAAAAGGTTAAAAGAGTGTTAAAATAGTAACCCGAAGAATATCTGCGGAACGGTAACGACATGTTCATCATGTTGATCGGTACACAATTCGTATGCTTGAATAATTTACTAAGCTAAGGTGGAATAGCTAATTTTTATAAGCAGCAGCCGGTCTAAATTACTAAAATAAAGTCTAAATTTATCGACCTGACTTACACAAGTTAGTCACATTGAGCCAACTATTAGTGCACTTACGAATACAGTCTTTACAGTAAAAGCATAGTTAAAACGTCCCAACCGTCGGCTGTACTGACTTAGTTTGATCTCGCCGTCCGTGGAGGCCGTGTCGGCGGTGAGGCGCTCCTCCGACGTGTTGCTGTTGATGGCGACGTTGTTGTTCACGTTGTACATCGACTTGCCTGCAACGGACGGAGGTCATTCAAGGGCGTAGAGGTCGATCAACGTCGAGCCACAGTCAATCACAATACTTTAGACGTGCTTGGGTCAATCACAGTGTATTTTTGACTTGTGAAGTAGTAAGTAAGTCGCGCGCAAATTTAACACGTAATTTATTTCTACTTTTTGAACTATGTTTTACAAACATATTGTACTCAAAGTTAGTCTGGTTAAATAAAAGAATGACATGGATAAAGTCGATAGATGTAGAGACAAATGCTAAAAGAAACTGCACCTAATTTGTGTCCATTATTATATGAGTTAAATTAAGGGGTTAACGAAATTTCAGGTGAGTTTTCAATAAAATTCTGATGTTATATTCATTTGATGTTAGTAGTGTTCACCGCCATCATCAATCTTGGTGGTACGTAAGGTTACTAGTTAAAAAAAGGCATTGCTAGCGTGCTTTAAAAAGGGCTTTACGTGGAAGTATAAAAACGTCCACTTAGAGCCGGTATTACAGCTACGTTCGCTATGAGGTTCTAATTTAGTATGGCTTGTGTTTAATCACCAGCTGCATGGGTGATGGCGTCCAGGGTGCTGATGTCCAGCTTGAGGTCGCTGGCGTTAGGGTCGGCCGCCATGTTGGCCGCGCGGCGTCTGCGCCTACGGACGGCCCGTCCCAGCTGCATGTCGTAGGCGGTGGCGGCCACCAGTAAAACTGCTACGACGCTGCACACGCCACTACAATGTGATGGTATGATTGGAGAATATACAAATGGTTTTCCGACACCTGGTGGCAAGCGAGCTGGCGGTTCACCAGATGTTAAGTGATAACCGCCTCCCAACCAACCGACAATTGCATCACCTGTAGTGTTGCAGATGCGGTGCACCTTAAAATAAAGTGGGGCTCGGTTACCGCACTCACCAGACGAAACTTCTGTAAGTTTGTGATACTTCTACGCCTTTGGTTAAATCATATAAATAACTTTACGGTGGTAGGGCCGCGCAGCAGCCTCGGCTGTTGCACGAATGGGCAGGCTCGTCCGGGTAAGTACCACGACCTTACAGAAGACCGGCGTAAAGTGGAAATATGACTAAAACTTTCGCGTTTCGTCTGGTGAGTGAGGTAGCCGGAGCCCAATTCTCAAAAGGTTGTCAACGCATCTGTAACCCTCGGGTGTGGCAGATGTCCATGGGCGGCGGTATTCACTTAACATCAGGTGGACCGTCCGCTCGTTTGACAACTTTTCGCATAAAAAAAATTAAATAAAAGTGGTAATCCATACTTAATATTAACATGCGAAAGTAACTCTGTCTGTCAGTCTCGCTTTCACGACAAATCTACTGAACCGATTTAAACGAATCTGGTACATAGATAGCCTAGAGCCCGAGAAAGGACATAGACTATTTTTTAATTGGAAAAAAGTGTTGTAAAGGGTTGAAAGGTTAAAGAAAGATATTTATTTAAGGGCTTAAATGCGAGCGAAGCCGCGGGCGAAAAGCTAGTATTTGCATAAATGAATGAGCTCGCTCGCGTGAAGATTATTGTTTTATCTTTATCTTCTCTCAAGTCGAAATAATATTATTCAATTTAGGATGATTTAATGATCTTTGTACACCCATAGCAATGATTGCGGCGCGTCAACGGTGTTGCGTGTAAACAAAAATATGAGCTGTTATTGCAACCGGGCCTCAATTACGACATCATCGAGCTGAATTGCACACAGTTCTGTTCATTATTTAATGTTGAATATCTTTCAAAATTGCGTGCAACCGAGCGTTATCATCTGTACAGGTGGTTTGTACTAGCGAGGCAGTTTAATGAGCGGCCTGAATATATGTGTATTTCACAAACGCGCTGTAGAAACTTTGCCGTCATATATTATATGGTAAACTCATTCCCGCACATTCCCGCGTGATTCAATACAAGATCAACAATGACCTTATCGTTTGTAAAATGTTACGTACCTATGTGCAAATTATTTATTGTTAAATGAATAATTACTTTTCGTATTGATTTCTTAATTTTATGCCAATACTAGGGACCCGCCCCGGCTTCGCACGGGTGCTATGTATAATATATACAAACCTTCCTCTTGAATAGAGCCGTGATAGCTCAGTGTCCGGGCGCTCGCCTTTAATTCAATATACTCGAGCAACCTGAGTTCGATCCCCGGTGCCGGCACCAATGAAGTTTTTAACTTTAAGTGCTGACTTATCACGTGCTCCGCGATGAAGGAAAACATCGTGAGGAAACCTGCATATTTTCGAAATAAGAACAAAAAAAAAATTTATTTCGAAAATATGTGAAGTCCGCCAATCCGCAGTGGGGCCGCGTGGTGGACTATGCCCTGATACCCTCTGTATAGAGGAGGCCTTTACCCAGCAGTGGGACACGTATAGGCTGTTACTTTACTTTACTTTTTCCTCTTGAATCACTCTATCCACTAACACTTACACTTTATGGTATAGTATTAAAGTTCAAATTGCCCTTTAAGTATGAATATATACGAATCTTTTGTTTGTGAATATAGAAAAGTTTTGTTTTTGGACTTTTTCAGGGAATTTTTAAATTTTTCTCTCCGTAGAACCATCGTACTTCAAGGAATATTATAAAAAAAAAAGAATTAGCGAAATCGGTTCAGCTGTTCTCGAGATTTGCGCTTAGCAACACATTCAGCGAATCATTTTTATATCTAGAGATTATATATATTAAATGAAAGTAGTTTACGGATTTTATCCCGTTTTAATTTTGATTTTTATTTCCCGACGATTTGAACCGTTTCTATGAACGCTGGAAAGGGTTCGAAACGTCAAAATTAAAACGCGATCAAATACGTAAACCAGTGTCTTTAATATGTATAACTCCTGTTTCGTTGGGCACTATCAAGTTGGACGAAACCTAGGTAGCACTATTTGTATATCGTTCAAGTGTTTGCAATTATCTCGATTCAAATATTCCTCATTTATTATACACAAGAAATTCGTAATTCAAGGGGAACGTAAGGTTCGAAGATTAAGAGAATCCTAAAATCGTTAGTAACAACCTTATTGGCCATCGGGTTTCGGATTTTGTTGAGTTTTTAAGTATTAATTAAGTAACTTAAAATATTTAGAAACGGAACCACAGCAGTTTATTAGTACTAAATTATAAACTGATTTCTCCTTAAGGGATCAAATGACGAATTTTTCAATGAAGTGGCATCGCTAAGAATGTCAGCTGCTTGTAGGAAAATTGTATTCTACTTCTGTTACTTAGGGCGCTTCGCGTTACATAGTACATGAATGTGCAGCAATGTGATTTTTGCACTGTGGAAACCTCCGGATTACAATACTTAAGAAAGTAAAGTAAGTCCTATAAATGTGCCACAATGCTGGGCAAAGGCCTCCTCTGTACAAAAGGTATTAGGGCATTGTCCACCACGCTGCCCCACTGCGGATTGGCGGACCTCGCTTATCTTCGAAACTTTTTGTTGTTGCTTCAAATATATGTAAGGTTCACGATGTTTTCCTTCACCGCTGAGTACGTGATGATTCAGTATTTGAATTTGACAATTTCATTGGTGCTGGCACCAATGAAATTGTCAAATTCAATTAAAAGAAAGCGTCCGGACACTGGGCTATCACGATTTCTTTTCTCAGAATACATTGCACACCATTAGGGTTACGACCCACGGACACATAGAGTCAACGAGCTATACATGAACATATCGTTGTAAAGTTCATTATATTTACCCACTTTATTAAAAGGCAACTCCCAAAGTTGTTACAAATGTCCATAGGCGGCGGATATCCTCAACATCAGGTGAACCGCTAGTTCGCTTGTCACCTTCTCACATTTAGAAAAAGTTATATTGGTATTTATTTATAATAAAAAAAAAAAAAAAAAAAATTACGGATACTCACAGCAAGACTTGGAACGTTGGGTCTGTCATGTAGGAGTAGCCACCGTGCTGCGGAGAGCGGACAGCCACCACTTTGTGTCGGAGCAGTGGCGAGTGTGCTGCGTCCACGATGGTTGCCACCTGGTCCCTGGTGCAGGAGCGTGGTAGGCAGAGTCCTAGGTGCAGGGTGCGGCGCTGAGGGAAATGATGATATCGTTGACTGCGGTAGCAACAGCTGCAACATTTGCCCGAATGCTTTACCGGGTACTATGGCTCCGCTCAAGACTTAGGTGATGTAGCATTATATTTTTGATTGATAGAGGTGGGATCTACCGTGGTAAATGTTAATCCCTTAGCATGACTTTTCGCATAATAAATATTTACACGACTTTAGTGAGATAACTCTTTCCGTAAACGAATTTAGACTTTACTAGTGGTCGCCCATTGGTTGAAATACAACCATAATTAATTATACATGGTAGTGTGTGTTATGCTTTTTTATTTATTTATTGGAGGTATTTTAAAAAAGTATAAACATTCTGCACTCCTTCTCTATATAAACTATAAGTGTGTGAAATTCCATCCTCCTTCATCTGTGCAATTTTTGTGAAAAGGGGTACAAAGTTTTGCTTCACGTATAGAAATTTGCGTAGGAATGATTGAAGAAACACATATACTCGTAGTTGTGCAGTATCTGGGTATAATGATATAATATTTACAAGATTAAAATCTAACTAAAATTACATATTATCTAATAAACCTAAATACGCTGAATAGTTATGCTTAACCATTAAGGGAGAAAAGAACCAGCTCTCTTGTCACCAGCCGCGGGAGAGTATAATTACATTCTTAAGCATTCGGGACACAAATATGTAATCGCCTAAAAATGCCCGAGTTATTAGACGTTCAAATCATAGAAGTAAAATTATTTAAACCATTGACATAAAAATTTTGGTCTATATCCTATTAATAGTAACTTGAAGAATTATGTAGAGATAGAGAAGTACATGGACAAAATAAGAAGAAAAAAAATATACTAATGTACATATATATGTCTTATGTAAATACAAAGTGCAATTCGTTTTTTCAACGAACACACATCATCAAAGAGTTTCAAGGGCCTTGCCAAGAAATAAAGGCCTCTTCTGGATTAATATTTTTTTCACCCAACGACAAGACACGTGCAGCTACTAATCGTTTAAAGTTGATTACCGTCTTCACGAGCTCATGCTGGTCGGTCGTGATCAGCATTCGTACATTGTAGAAGGCGGTGGCGAAGGGCGGCCCGGAGCCCGATATGGAGACGTCGTCCCGCCACGCGCCCATGATCGAACCGTCGCTCTCTGCGAAAGGGAGAAAGAATATCAAAGGAAGAATGATTACACGCTAATGGAGATGACTGACAGTGGTGTCGATAAGTACCACGACCTCATAGAAGACCTGTTATGCTTCTGCGTTTCGTCCGGTGATTGAGATAGCCGAGGCGCACTCTACTAAAGGTCACCACGCATCTGCAATCCTACGGGTGTTGTCAAATGTCAATGGGTGGCGGTTATCACTTCACATCAAGTTAGCCGCCAGCTTATTTGTCACCTTCTCACATAAAAAAAGTGTGGTGGGGCGTGACATTTTCACGGAGGCAAAGTAGAGACCTGTGCAAATGCAGGAAGTGATTGATGCAGGTGCCTCAGGATCGTGTTTCGTGGCAGCCTGTGGGGTCTATGTTCTGTAGTAGACTCAAACAGACTGAAATGATGATGACGATGACAGTAGAGACAGACTTTGTATAATAATTTTTGGGCACACAATTTTGTTTCGTGTGGCGGCCGAACCGATAAGGTGTTATGGATGAGGAAGTCAATGTATTTAACAGTTAGTGCATCGTCATCTAATTGCGTTGCCAACTCTAAGGTCACGGGCCTTGATAAAAGTATAAATATGTTAAAATGGTCTTCTGCTAGGCCGGCCCATTTCTGCAACAGCAGAAACCGCCTAATGACTGGGATTTGCCATCCTCAGCTGCGGGTCATGATATTTCGTGTTTAATTTATATAGGTTCAGTAAACGTGGTGTAAACAGACTTGACAGTTTATATTTTTAACAACAAACATAAGATATTGTCGATTTTTTTATGACTTATTAACCATATCGCCATTTCAAATGGTTCATTCGATATTATTTAACATTCGTATATAATTATCTTTCTTTATTTAATTAGCATACGGAACTCTAAGTAAAGCCCTTGAAGAAACTCCAATTGCTAAACATTACCTAAGACGAGAAGTGATTCATCAAAACTTTTAAATATAAATGATTAAAATTCCTACCGGATTTGATCGAAATCTATACGGTCAATTTGATAGTTCGTGGTTGCGATGCATAAATTAATAGGAGAGCATATGAGCCATGCTCTACTACTTGATATAAACACACGTAATAAAGCGTTGCAACAGAATTGCCTGTTACCAGCCTTATCTAATTGGACGCAAAGTCTGGCGTAATAAGTTTTAAAGGTGCGATTCTTGCGATACGTAGTATAAAGGGTGTAGACGGAGTGGTATTGGACACACAAATACGAATTTTGTACTCTCTAATGGAAAATTCCTTCTTTGTGCAAATATGTTTAACATATTACACTATTCCTCAGCGTTTATTTCAACCAAAGTTGCTACAAAATAACGGCTTACGAGCACCGTTAAAACAAGTTGAGAATGAGGAGATACGGATCACAGAACTTTAAAAAGGAGATAAGAATACATTTAGAGGACATTTAAATGTTCACCTCTTCTAACTACTAATCAACTACTAAGTATAATGTTTTCTTAATTGTTTCTTAATTCTAAGCCCCAATATCTATGAAGATCGTAGTTAAATTTGCCAGTGGCCAACCATAAGTTTTTTAAGAGTGTAGATAGTTATCTGATTATAGGTAAATATCGTTTACTATAAGCTTGCAATTTTATTTCCAAATTTATATTCGGCCTGGATATCTTCTCTCCGTCTGCCGGATACTTCTCTCGGTTTTATGTTCGGCTGTGCTACTTCTCCATAGCAGCTGCCGATTGGTGCATCAGCAGAAACTGTTGCGTCTACTCCTGTTGAGTAGACGCAACAGTGGCCGCTGTTGTGTTTGTTTATTTTTATTCAACACTCAGAAATGGCCTAGCCGTAAGACATCTCAGACTAGTGTCGTATTTATTTACGTTCTAATCCACAGCTGAGCCCACGTTTAACCTTAGAGGGCAGATTGAAGTGTCCTTAGCCAGTGCCGCCTTGAGAAGTGAGTGGCCACCGCGATTTGAGCTGCGCCTAAATGGACGGATGTCGTCCATTAGAGCAGCCACTTTTCGAGTTTAGAACTTTTGTAGAGAAGCTCTCAAGTTTTAACCATTGTTGGGGTGGGTAGGTTTTTGTTTTGATATTCATTTCACTACCGAGACTAAAAAAATTTAAGGTTTTTTTTACTACATTTCATTTATCATCATCCTCCTTACTGAATAAAATTATTCTATACGGATTTATCGTGTTTATTTTTAATGTTAGTTCCCGACGTTTCGAACCCTTTTCAGCGTTAATGGTCACTGGAAAGACTGAGGCGTTGGACGTCAGCTCTTAGCGGTGAGAGAACCTTTACTAGATGTTGAGTCTTTTAGAATCTGTATGTTGGGGAGTCGATCTGGCTTACAATAGGCCGTAACGGAGCGTTCTGTTTGGGTACTTCAGGCAATCCATACCTACAAGCAATTTAGAGAATACCGATTCCCCCCGCGGATGATTTGCAAGGCTATTGAAATTAAAAAGCACCCTTATTTAGAGAATACCTACCAAATAGAGGAGAGTGTTGGGTGCTACATCAGCTTAGCATCATATAATCAATAAAATCAAATCTAGACCCAAACAAGCCACTACCCGCAAGACATGACACAACCAACACCTGCGTAGCTTGGACACAAAAACTAATAATTTAAAAAATGACGGTAGCCTGGGCTAACTGTGACTTTAAGACGTCCAACGCCTCAGTCTGTCCCGTGACAATGGATGCTGAAAAACATTCGAGACGTCGGGAACTAAAATTAAAAATAGACGCGATAAATCCGTATAGTTTTATTTAGTATTAATGTTTAATCGTGTACAAGAAATTATTAACCTCCTCACGTTGCGAGTGGTTTTGGCGAAGTGTTTTAACGACTGACGGCCAGCATGTGGTCAATCTTCATTGGGAATAATCGCTCAATCCAGAACAATGGTCTATGCGCCACACAAGTAAATACTTTCCCCAATTTCCCCGTTTTTATCTTAAAGAATTAGAAAAGGAGCTGACATGATATATTTTATTTCGAAATTAAAAAAAATTGATAAAAAAAAAACAGGGTAGGTGTATGAAATGGCCGTGTACGCATTGTGTGCCTGTTGTTTTGCGACTTTTAAAAAACAAAAAAAAATGCGCGAAAGCATTTGACATTCTAGTTCCACTGCACAGGGAGGAAAATTTCATACTAAAGTCCTTACTTTAGTATAATGTAAGTACATATTGACCACTAGCTGTTAACCGCGGCTTCACCCACGCGGCCAAAGGCAATTAACAATGAGTTTTTTATTTTACGCCAGAATATCTCGCAGATGTCTGAATTCTTTCCTACTTAGTTGACACTTATATACCTATATTTTGGACAATTCACATAATATCTTTATAAATTATAGCCTATGTGTTATTCTCTATATTATTGTAAAGTTTCATTAAAATCCATTCAGTAGTATTTGCGTGAAAGAGTAACAAAAATCCATCCATCCATACATACAAACTTTCGCGTTTATAATATTAGTAAGGATCATATTGGCACTCACTGTTGTTGAGTTTGACAGGGCTCGCTTCGTGTTGGTCGTTGAGAACCTGACACAGTTCGGCGGAGCCCGTCCAGTAGTTGTTGCCCCAGTAGAACATGGATGTGTACCGCCCACTGGCGTCTTCCACTGCGAACAATCAATAAAATCAGTAAACAGAATCAGATTATTAATGATTAGTATAATTACTAAGCAAGTTATAGCAGCAGCTTGCTATTCCTTGTTTGGAATTTCTCAGTCATAATCAAATGCCGAAGCAAAAACGAAAAAAGAAATACAGTTAAAATTAAAGTACGTATTGTATGTTTTATCTATGTTCAACTTTGATGCAAAGTACGATAGCACTTTTAGCTAACATAGAGTGAGCGATTATTATTTTTTATTTTTATTTCACTTTCGGATAGTTTTCAAAAGTAACCTATAAATTATGTCTCCCACTATCAGGGTAAGATCTCAGCATAAAGTATTAGGACAAGTCTAGTACGCGCCCCATATAGACGTAATATTTTATATCTTAGATATGCAAGTTTTCTTTATCATTTTTTTTCACCACCGATAAAGCCTCGAGTACACTGAGCTAAGCTCGAAAGCATTGATCAGTATTATTCATTGTATTATATTTTTTATTATCTAATTTACAAAAACGAAATTTTAAACATATCCAATTAAAACCTTTAGATTTATTATTGTTAATAATTATGCAAATACTGTTTGTTCTGAAATGAAACCGCTAAATATTTAAAAATAAAACACTAATCTCGATAAAATCCGTTAGATAACATTACTTAACAACCCTGTTAATAGCAAACAACAGGTTGTAGGATATGCTAAATGCAGACGTATTTTATTGAAATGTATTAAATTAATCTTTAACAGCCACCTTACAATTGCACCGTCGCGTCGTTTTGAGAACAAGGTCCAGCATAATTGGGCACGGTAACTCGCAGCAGCCATTGCTTATGAAACAACATCAATGTAAACATTTAGAACGGAAGTTCTTACATTTATAGGGTTACATATAACTATAAGACGAAATTTCTATCCTCCTACAAGTTAGTAAAATCTATAAACTTAGAGATTTCTGATGCGAGTTTCTGATTTAAGTTCCGCTTTAAGAAGAACTAGCTTTATTTATGTCGCTGTATCAATTTCCAAGTTTCATTTCCAACTTGCCGTATAAAAAGATGAATTCAATTGGTTCTTCAATCAAGGTACTGTGTTCACGATAAATTTATTAAAAAAAAAAAGAAACTGAAACTACAAACATTGTTCAAAAAAATCGTTCCAGTATACTTCGCGATAAATATCAAAGGTGGTGCAGGCTGAATTGACGGCAGCCTTCATGCGAAAAATTAAAAATAAAACACGTATCCGACGATCGACGGGTTCAAGGCCAGTGACAGTCTTCCGTTTTACGCGGAAGACGTTGCGCGGTTTTCTGATTATGGGGAAATTGCTTCCTGGCTCGCGTAATGGTAGCCACGAGCGACACTACATCCGTCACACGTCTTTAATGATGCGTCCGCTTGCACTGCTACGCTTTTTTAACTTCGGGAATGTCTATATTCCGTAAAGGTTAAGGAGAAACCTGCTCGTTTTTAACCTTTAGTTTAAGTACAGTTAATAAACGACTGAATAACCATCTGCAGACGATTGCAACGCCCCGTTCGAGCCTTTTTGGAGGACAAAGGGGTCAGTGCGGTTCGGTAATCTTCTCAGATTACATTAAGACGCTTTTAACAAACTTCGATATATATATATATTTAGTTATTTATGTACGTATTTATTTATTTTTTATAACAAAGAATGTATTTATCTTATAAAATTTATAGAATTTTACCCACACCCCTAAAATATTCTTTTCATATTATGTCCATGCAAAGGTTGCCTGGAAGAAATTGCTTTAAGTAATAAGGCCGCCCATTGTACAACCCTTACATAATTGTTATTTTTAATGTATTCTTTTTACCATGGTGTGTGCAATAAAGAATATTCATTCATTTATTCATTCATTCGATTTACGATTTCATTTTGATACAAATCACATGTCTAGAAGATACCTCAAGGAAGGAATCATATACGAAAAACGTAGCCTAATGCACTAAATCAAATGTGTTTCTCTTAAACCCGACTCACGCCACGGACCACTCCTTTTTGGGTAAAAACTTCGATATTTCTTTGACTTTTTATTAATCTTTATAAGAAGTTGTGCCTGCGTTTTAAAATGCCGGAAACATTTTTCAGGTTTACTATTAGTAAAGCACCGAGAACGAACAGAATCGGTCAATTAATTCGATTCGACAATTTCAAAAAAGCGCGCGGTTCACGGCCGCGCGCCGGAGCGATTTATTCGCGCCAAAACGTTCTCAAGCAATGTCACAATCCTTTTAAGGGCCGTTAAGTGAGTCGATAAAATTTTTTTTTATCTCAAAAATATTCGACGTTTTAACATGTTTACGGAATCGCTATCGAATCTTCTAAGATTTATACATTTGTTATCGTATATTTTTTAATTTACGAAAAATCTCGTCACTGGTATATGAAAAAAAAAGCATATCGCTATGCATAAGCTCGCGAGTATGTACTCAAAGTTATCGGCAAAGTCACTTTTATATATAAGAGTGTATGTGTGTGTATGTTAATATGTGTATGTATATATGTGTGTATGCACGTATTCATTTATTTTCTGGACCATCCGTAAGGTTGATTGGGAGAAAATGCTTTAGCATTAAGCCCGCCTTCGTACAAAGACGTTTTTTTTTACTCACCAAGTTTTAAATAAATAAATATAATCTAACTTACGCCCGGTTTCTGAAACAGTTATCATCGTAGAAGTTAATTAATCAGCTCTCAAATGGCTCTCAAATAGTATTTGAATTGTCTAATGGATGGTAAGACTCTTTGAATTGATCATTCCGATCATTAAGAACTACGATGGTCAGTGTTTCAGAAACCGGGCGTTAGTCGGGGGTATCTGGAGTCGCTGCCAAAAACATTGACAGCCGTACTGGCACGGGTTTTGTGGTCATTTATGGGTTGCGGTTCTTATTTAACATGAGGTGATGCGTCTACTCGTTTATAATGTTCTCTCATGAAATAAATAAAGTGGCAAAGGGATCTGATGCGGTCTAAAACATAAACACTCGTTAACATCGGGGCAAACTATATCAGTCTTAAGTAAAGTATATGAAATATTTAGGACACAGTTCCATTTCTCCATGCGTTAACCATTTTTTTTTCTATTTATTGGCAAGAAACTCCGCGTTTGAGAATATTGCAAAAACACCCATGCGCAAACAAGATTTAAACTATTTTAGTGAACGACAGAGCCGTGATAGCTCAGTGTCCGGGCGCTCGCCTTTAATTCAATATACTCGAGCAACCTGAGTTCGATCCCCGGTGCCGGCACCAATGAAGTTTTTAACTTTAAGTGCTGACTTATCACGTGCTCCGCGGTGAAGGAAAACATCGTGAGGAAACCTGCACATTTTCGAAATAATAACAAAAAAAAATATATTTCGAAAATATGTGAAGTCCGCCAATCCGCAGTGGGGCCGCGTGGTGGACTATGCCCTGATACCCTCTGTATAGAGGAGGCCTTTGCCCAGCAGTGGGACATGTATAGGCTTTTTTTTTTATTACTTTACTTTTTTTCTTACTTTAGTGAACGACAAACACATTACATTTTTTTTTATGTGAGAAAGTGGCAAAGGTGTTGGCGGTTCACCTGATGTTAAGTGATAACCGCCTGCCCATGGACATTTGCAACACCCGTAGGGTTGCAGATGCGTTGCTACTTCTTAATGAAGTGGACCCTGGCTACCTCACTCACCAAACGAAACACAGAAGTGTAACACCTGTACTTGTCGCCGGTCTTCTGTGAGGTCGTGTTGCGCTGTTGCGTGGCCCTACCACCGAAATTTTGGTTGTTTTATTGATTTTGAATGTGTGGTGATTTATTCATATTTTTAACATATAATAAAAACCCACAAAAGTTGTTGTCCTTAGGCGAGAAGGCGAGTAAATATAGAACTTTACTTGAAAAGTTACTTACCTTGATAAGTGACACTTTAAAACAAAAAACATTTTTTTGTTTAAAGTTTGCAGCATTCTATAAAATCAGACTTACGTTGAGAAAAAGAAGCATACCTCTTCTATTTGTTTGGCGTACGTAAAATGTGATGTCCTTACGTGATAGAAAGGCATCTTGTCAGCTGTTTGCAACAGCGAAGCATCCGCGAATCGAATGCCGTAACGTGCAAAGGTAGTGTCCGTTTTGCAACCGCTAGTTGTTCTTATTTGAAATACGAACGCCGACGAAAGAATCGTCTTTTCTTCTAAGAAAAGACAGACAACTGAAAATTCTACTATTAATTTATAAAAATTCCTTCCCTATCATTATATATATATATATATATATATATATATATATATATATATATATATATACATATAATTCTACCGTACGTCTGTATGTCACTGAACCCCTAAACGGCTGGACCGATTTTAATGAAATTTGTGTGTCTTCTGAATGGTTTAGTTTCACAATTCGGTCCACTACAATTTTTTCTTTAATTTCTAATTTGTCGAATTTAAGTCCTGTGTACAAGACAACGTCTGTTCGGTCCGCTAGTATATCTATAGTTCTCATAACGGTATATTGTACTCGCGTGAACACTTCACACTCATCCTCCTCCCCTCATCCCAGCTAGGTGGAGTCGACTACATGTAAATCATATAATGAGTGGTTTTTGGCTAGGTTATTAACCGACTTCAAAAGGAGGAGGCTCTCTAGTTAGCGACTGCGCCACCGAGTCATCGCGTGGATACTTCACACTGTTAAATACGAGTAATACAATACAATACAATACAAATAATACAAGTTTAATTTTGTTACAGACATATACACATCTACGCAACAACACAGTCTATCCAGCAACGTCATCAAATGTCGTCAAATTTTGATATGAAACAAAATTCATACATTAGTTCTATAAGTATACCGAATTAAGGTTAACGGAATGTGCCTAAACTTCACGCGTCCTTGTAATGCCTCAATTGAGATTCGGTAATTCTCATCGAATTACCTTCACAATCTCTTCACTTGAGGAGACTCGCTTCCAACATAC